GAAAATTGGTAGAATACAAATCAAAATAACTGTGCACACTAATCGATTAACAAGCCGCATTGTGCCTATTCAATTCACTTTCGTCATTTTTGTCGAAAGAAATCATATTCAGATTGATTTCCTTTTTTCTCCATCAATCCACACAGAAAATGTATGGAAAGATCTACATATCACCTACATATTTGCCTGAAGCGTTATTCAGTTGTTACATAAATGAATTGATTTTTAAGAGAATAAAGAGAGAGAGGGAGCGAAAGAAAAGCACATCGAACCGATTCTATTATATTTTTAATTCGTTCATTGTTATTGCTATTCACCAGCGCGCAATGACAACGCATTTCAAAATAAGAAAAACTGAAGACAGCTTCAACATTCGATTCCGAGTACGAAATGTTGTGGAAGATTGAAGAAGGGAAAAAAGAGCACACGCTTATTCCGAAAATCAATTAGTACATTCAAAAAAAAAGAGAAACATTTTTCGTTCGTTATTATTTATGCATTCATGCATTTGTTTTGTGTGTTATTTTGAGAGTTAACTGTCATAAAATTATATGGAATTAACAATACTCTGTGTATTTGTGATGGAGTCGCATTTTTCATGACGATGCCGTTTATAAAATGTTAAATAGTAATTTAATAAATGTAAATATGTATGAATGTGTCGAGAAAATAAGCACATACACTACACACACTACACACGTGTGTGTGCGCGCACACATTTTTTTTTCCTTCTTTGACGAATGTGTGTTTGCAAGCAACTCCACCCACTTATTACGGTGTCTTATAAATGAAGATGCTACATTTTTAGCCAACTTTGAGTGAATCACATTCGTTTCAAATTTATATATACTTGACACTTTCCGCATTAAGTATTTCATCAAAATCGCACACCGCGTGCAATCTTTTCTATCATTATATATGTTTGGCACATTGTTGTGATGCGGAACAATGGCCATATAATGGAGATGAAAATATCTATCCAAATTTGATGTTTGAAATAAAGAAAAAATTAATTCAAACAAATTTAAAATGGATAATTCATTCAATGGCGATGACGTCGACAGTATAAATCCAACGAAAGCTTGGTGATTTGTTTATTTTATCAACGAAGAAAAAAAAATCACAGTAATTCACAAATATCCGCGAATATTCGCGCATTGGCATTTAATCTCTTCTAATGATATTCACTCCTCATTGACTTATTCTTTGCAATATAGTAGAATGAAATCCACGCAATAAATTCAGAATTGGCAAAATACACAATATATTTGAAATAGGTAAATACAGAATACAAAAAAAGAGAGAATAATTCTTGCAACAGCCGAAGAAGAAGAAGAAGAAGAAATTTGGTTTAATCGAGCGAAAGATAAACATATATGGCATTTATTCTCAAAGAGAGCTTATCGTGTTAAAAAGTTTGTGCTTCTCTCTCTCTCTCTCTTTCTCGTTGTGTGTGAGCAAAATGGAATTGAATGCGAATACGTCAACGACCGCAATAAAAAATAAAACGATATGTACTTTCCAATTCTAAGTGCTGATTTTGTCGGTTGTTGCAACCTTCTCATTTTCGTGTTTTGTCTTTTGCTTTGCGCATACGAATTGATACTCTTTTTTTGCGCGCATACAAATGACGAGAAAAGTATTTAGCAAGGTGGACAACACAACAATGACAATAAACAAGAAGTTGCGCGCGTTAAAAATATGTGATTTTAAAGATTTCTGAAAATGGTTTCATTTTGCGGCGTTCAAAATTCTAAACTCAATGCTAACCGTTCACCAAATGTGAATGCTGGTGTACCACATTCACCAATCGGAAAAGTTAAAGATATGATTATAATACGTTTTAAATGTTTGTAAACTACTTAGTATGAAGTGCGATTTGATTAATTGAATTTATCTTGAGTGTTGTTATGTCTCTCGTTTGGTATTTGAATCTTTAACACATCTTTTTGTAATATTTTGTATTTGGTGCTCTTTGGCAAGCGTGTTTTGCAAAAGAGCTGAATAGTTTACATCGAAAATAACCAAAATATGATCGTTGAGAGAGAGAGAGAGAGAGAGAGGAAAAAGACGACGACTGCTGTGTATGCTGAAGACAAAACCATAAACACATACCATTTAATTAAATTACACGATATAATCTTTGATTTGAACTAGAGAAACTGTTGGAATGCCGAAGAGTTTTTTTCCTTTTTCTTTTCTCTTATTATATATAATCAGGTAATCTGTAGTTCAAATAATGGCATTTTTCAATCAAAGTCCACCACAAGAACCAATTTCTTGTTGAATTTGCTAAATGAAATGAAAAAAATATAGATATTATTGTTATTTGTTCAAGCATTTGCATAACTTTCAATTTGATGAACATAAACGGCACCACAAAATTCACACACCAACACACAAATATGGCAAATTCAAAGTCACACAGCTGATCGACGAAGTGTAAGCGGCAATAAAATTGTCGAGAATATTTGATCTTTCATATTCATAATAACTATATCCAAGTGATTTCAGACACGTTTTATTGTTGTTTCGTATAAATAGGTATATAATTTGGGCATTTCGAATTGCAGCATGTGTTTTGCAGTACGGAATGTGTGTTTGCACATGCAAAATGTGCATAAGCATAAGTGGAATTGAGGTCACTGCTCAACGCTATAATATTCGCAATATTCGTCAATTAAAAAGATTTTTCAAATTCATCAATTATCCACATTCTTCTTGGATAGAAAGAGAGACCATCTATTTTATATTTATCTGATATTGACTTCTTTCACCCTCATTAACATATTCGTTTCTGTCGTGTGTGTGTGTGTTTTTTCATTCATTTTTATTTTGACATCGAACAAGCATTCACTTGACGCAAACGCGCGCTCACTGAAGATAGTAATTTAGAAAAAAAGAGACTAGCTTATGTTTGCGCACACGCGCTTAATGTAAGGCAATGAACGAAGAACTGAATGCGCGCACAAAAGAGAATGATAAAATACCAGAAATAAAATAACAGAATCTGATTAACATTTTGAGTTTTTCCACTTGTAAAAAGGTAACATGAATTGCCAAATTTTAAAGCGTCGGTTAAAATGTCACCTTATTATGAATGATTTATCTAGAAAGACACAGAGATAGATAGATAGATAGATAGAGAGAGAGAGAGAGAGAGAGAGAGAGAGAGATGAAGAGATCGAGAGAATGGAAGAGATTCCAATTTATAAAATAATTGCATTGCTTCATGAATGCAAACGTTCCCAAAGGGCGTTGTATGTGTATATGTGGTAGCTAGATGACAATATTGTTTAGCACATAAAATAAATGACGGACGATTTAAATGCGAGAAATGAAAAGAGATGAACATGTATGATCACTTTTGATTCGTCGAACAACCAAATATGGTTCGTTGAATTTGGCTTCCGAGCAATTTGAATGTGGAATTTTGTCTCATTTGGTTGGATATGGTTGCGTTTTATTTTTCAATTCACTGAACAATCACAATACAATGGCCTAAATTATTCTATTGCGCAAAAGAAGACGATGAAAATAAAACGAAGAGACAATTTTTCTTCATCAGTTGTTTTTTTCGCACCAATCACTAGAAATTTATAATCGAAATTCGAAACAAAAGCCACTCAAATTTACAATGAATAAATTATATATAGTTACTAAGAGAGGCCAGGATCGATGTGAATTCGATAGTTCGTTGTGTTTTTTTTTCTTTTCTTACACGGACAAACAAAAATACATGTTTGTTTTCTGACAAAAATTCACATTATATCATATCGTCAAGACAAACAAAAAATAAATAATGATAACGAATCCATAATGGCAACGAATGAAAGGAAAAGATTTAACATATAATTCGTGAAGAGAAGGAAGAAAAATAAAAGAGTCACAAAGTAAGCGCGCGCGCGCGCACTTGCACCACAGAGAAAATCCAAAATAATAATTGGTGTTAAGAAAAGAGAGACTTTTCGTTAGCTGTAAGGCTCTTGCCGGTGTTTTCTGTCACTTTGGTCAGGAGAGACCGAAATGAAAAAGTGGAAAAACAAAGTGTAAAAGACGATCGAGCAAGAGCTAACTTATATAATTCATAGTCATCATGTGAATTACTCACGCTGTGTAAAATAAACCGCCTACCTGTTTCTTACTTATGTTTATGTTTATGTTGCTTATACGTTGCTCAAAACATATTATAAAGGCAACAACAGTCAGGCTAATCGGCTGAACTTGTGTCTGCCCATGTGTTTGTGTATAAAATTGAATGATATATACATATATAGCTCATTTCCATATGCATATATTCTATTGTTGTATTAACATCTTATAAATTCAAACAATGAACATTGCATATGAAAAACACTAAATTATGATTTTGAGTTTATTCATGCATGAGTATATTGTTTATCATCATCTTCTTCTTCTTCTCCCTCTCTTGTGTGAGTGTGTGTCTTTTTTTCCTTTTTCATTCATCTAATTTCTCCTTTTAGAGATGCTTTTAATATATTACATACATCGCATACACTGATCATATGATGGTGATCTTGATTTTGATTCTTGAAATAAACCAAACACTGTTGTGTTAAAGATTAACTTCGAAAAATTGAAAATTCAAAGCATTATATGGCATTATTGTTACTTCTTTTTCTTCTTTTGATCAGAAACAATTAATCTGATGCTTATATCGCCTTTTTTTTTTTTTAAACTTCGTTTTAATGTAAAGTCAAAGTTCACACACACACACACGTTGTGCGACGTAACCCTTGCCACAATGCAGGATAAATATGATTTTGTAGATGAGGAAAGCATTGTTCTTGTGTACACGCAGAGGAATTGTGTAAGAAAAACTAAAAACAAAGTGATCAGAAAATGGATGATAAATCTATGTAATAGTGCATAGTTGATGCTTGATAGTTTTAAAGAAATTAATCGAAATCAAATCTATTATTTAAATAAATATTGAACATTTTGTAAATATTGTTTTATATTTTTCGACTCTTTCACAGTCTCCAGAACTTGAATATCGCCATGAACTTGTTGGCCGTCCCGCAAAAATCACCGATTCCGATTTCAAAGTTGAGATTATACAGCGAAATCAACAATTAATCACGACAAATGTCTCATTATCATCATCACCGCGACTCGGTCATTCGGCCAATAATACAATTTACGATAGTTATGGCAATGATTGTAACTTTAGCAAAACATATCCGGAAAATGATGTGAATCCATATAATTTACTAACAAAATATTCCACCGATTCGACGACGACAACGACAACGTCGCCAACATCAAATGCAAAACTGCATAAAGAATATATTTGTATGTCGAGTGCCGTTGAAGAATCATATATGCGACCACCATTATGGGAAGATATTACAAGTTCCATTCAAAATATCGATCCTGAAAATGCAATAATGCTGGGTGGTGCAGTCGCAACACATGTTAAACTTGAAGCCAATGATGCTGATCAATACATCGAGAACTTATCAACTGCCCCGTTGCTAAGCCCATTGGAAATAAAACCCGAACTAAAACCACAAGTATACGTTTCAATACCATCCAATACATCACAACACCAACAACAGCAACAACAACATCATCATCATCCGCATCATCATCCACAAAATCATCCCAATCACAATGTGCAATCATCGCATTCAGTTTATTTAAATGGTATCATTTCCAATAATTTAGGCAGGTAAGACCACTTTATGACACCATTTCATTGATATTTCATTTGATTTTGAAGAAGAATATTTAGAAGAGAAAAAAAAACACGTAGAAAGTATTAACAACAATGTTTACTTAAACGAAACCATATTTTTTTCTTTCTTTTACCATTTTTCCGTCGCCAACAAAGTGATGATAACAACAATAGTAACAATAACAACAATCATCAATCTACTTATAATCTTCTGTGTGGACCGACGACATCGAATAGCCATTTTGAACAAAGCCACTTTGAAACATTGAATCAAAGCACCAATTTTAATGTTGCCGAATCAAATAATAGCCTATTGACAATGCCAATGCACCAAAACATGCATCCGCATACCCATACACCGCATTATCATGTACAACACAATGGAAATCACGTGTATTATAACTGGCAGGTTTGTTCAATTATTTACTTATTTATTGTTTTATTCAATATTGATAAACAGCGTCCATAACATATTAGTTGAACATTTATTCTAATATTTCTCTTGACAAGCCATAAATTAAACATGCACATTACACGTTATGTTTTGATTATTCGTTCACTTGTGCACATTCCACTTGTTCTTATACTACGTGCACTTTATTCAAGAAAAAAGAAACGAACAATTTGCGCTTTGATGTTAATGCCTCCGTTCTGTTTGGTCATTTGTTTCGATTTTTTTTTCTTCTTCATTTCAATAGGAAACACAATTACGAATAACTCCACCACCTCCATACAATCATCAAAATAGTCAAGACAATCAGATCATATCGAATGCAAATTTGATGCAATCATCCAAACCAAATTCCGATAATTCGCAAGGCCAAAACATCACCAATCTTCCTAATATCACCAATAACATAAATAATGGTTCTAGTACAAACAACACCAATAACAGTAGACGAAATCAAAATCGTGTGGGCGGAAATTCATCACTCACGGCTAAAAATGCGGTTATACGATACAATCGAAGAAACAATCCTGAATTGGAGAAACGGCGAATTCATCATTGTGATTTTCTTGGTAAGTACCTTATGTGACAGGCAAAAAATTGACTTACACTCATCGAATTCTACATCGTTTTCATTTGCATCTAATTAGAAAGAAATGAAACGAGACAAGTTCTTTTTTGTTTCAATATTCATTTTGAAACGTGATGATAATAATGAAGGAGAAAAAACTTTCTATTCTTTTAGGTTGCACCAAGGTTTACACAAAAAGTTCTCATCTTAAAGCGCATCAACGGATCCATACAGGCAAGTAGACCATAGTATAATATTAAAAAAAAGAAATAATAATCACAACTCATTGAAAATATGCCTGCGCGCGCTCTCTCGCTCTCTCCCTCTTCCACTCTGTCTCATTCTCATTCTTGTGCATTTGCCGATATTTTTGTGCGATCGTGCTTTCGATTGAAACATTGGACGATTGGCTCGGACGATTCATTAGAGCGCCGTGTTATGCACATTGGCACATAAACACAAGTGAATCAAGCAAAAAAGATCAACTTTTACCTTAACTAATTGAATACATGATTTGCTTACTCTGTTTGTTGTTTGCATCTCCCTTTTGTTTGATCATTCGTCTGTTGTTATTTCAATGTGACGATGCAAATGCACACAATGTGGTGCATTACGATAAATACTCAAGTCTATAGGTGGTCAACGTGTTGTCACTGTAAATTAGGAGATTTAATAAAATTAACCATTCATTTTGTACTTAAGAATATAATTGGAAGTGAAAAAAAAAAGTTTTTGTGATGGCATGAAGAGAAAGAAGAAGATGATGATGAACATGGAACAGCAGCAGTATGGCATAGAAGAATCGCATTATTTTCAATGCGAACTAAAATCCAATACAGAGATCGAACGCTACGATAAACAAATCAAAGTGTAAGAGATGTTATTGATGCATTCATCTCCGGAAGGAATCAAGCGCCGCAAAAAAATCGTTTTTTTTTTTTGCATGAACCGAATCAATGTCGATTAGTTTGAGCGTACGTTTTTTCGTTCTTTTCTCACTCTTTCAAAACCAGACAAACAAAAAATGTTGCGTTCAAGGGTTATACGGATTTTTGTGTGTCTGTGTTATTTCTTTTGAAAAATTGACTGAATGCAAAAAAAAATGTGGTACACATTCAGTTTGTAATATATCATATGTATATTTTCGTCATTGTGTGAGATGCTTCTTTCGTTTTTTTTTTTGTTATTTTCGGTTAAATAAATGAGATAACCGTCAAAAACTCAACCGTATACATCGACCATTTGAGTGTGAGATAAATACGTGTACGTCGAGCATTTCACAGATTCGGTGTGGAGTGTGTATATGCACCGGATATGCACCTACGCCAAAAACTTTGAAAAATAAAATAATTCGCTCCGTGTGTGTGTGTGTACGGTGTATAGCACACAGGCTCTTTTATTGATGGCATGTCTTTATTGAGCCTCATTCAACTCATCAGCAGCATATTTCTATCTTTGGAGCGCACACGCGCACGCTCATACATTTAGGTATTGTTCGCGATGCACAATATGTTGCGATGAGAGGGAAAAAATTTATTCCAGAATATTTTTTAATGCTTCTCGTAGACGTAGAGGAAGAAGATGTAGAAAACTTAATAAATTTGTGTCCCGCCTTAATTAAATATACATACATCGAAACTTGGAATCCTGACAATTACGTTGATGATACCTTTATCTGCATCTTTTTTTTCCATTCGTTCAAATCGATGTTCAATATCATTTGCGTAGAAGATGATTGTTTTTTTCTTCTTTGCTTAAAATTTGCAATTTTTATACCATCACGAGGCAAGGTACACAAAGCGAAATTTCGCTCAATGCTGTAATACATGCGATTTAATATCACGGAATGATCATAATGAATTTGATTCATTGTTATAGGGCTTTTAGTGTGGACATTTGATAAGAATTAATGCAAGATATCTCACAACATTCGGATATTTTTTCTCACTTCGTAAAGCAATTGCAGATGGGCGAGAGATTTGATCACAGCCCAACATGAATGCTACAACAATAACGAAAGCAAACCACAATAGATTTTGTTCGAAGAATGTGTTGCGAAAAAATGCAATCTTTATGGTATTTATCACTATTTAAAAGCCGAGATAGAAAAAATGTGTCTAAAATGTTGTGAATACAAATAAATTTAAAATAGTAAAATATTGTCAAATGACACATGTACAGAACCAATGTTATTTAAACATTTAAAACAGTTTTATTATTACGAGCCGGATGTAGCAAATGCAATTTTTTCTTCTCTCGCTTAAACGTAATCGTTAAGTTTGGTTTTCAAAAGAAAGAAAGTAACATATTCAAATAGAAAGACTTTTACCACAAAATGATTGTGGTTATATTTAAATCTTTATTTTAATTTCTAAGTAAATGGATAATGTCCTCTGGACATACATATATTGTATGTGGCTAATAGCGCGTCATCATCCGTTTTTTTTTCTTTTAAATTCATTGATCATTCTATTTTCTTTTTCCCTTTAACATTAACACTTATTTTTACTGTTTCACATTAAAAGCCCATTGAATATATCTGATCTCACTTGAAATGTATGAGAGAAACGAATAAAATAAATGGCACACACGAACACAAATCAACTCCTTGTGCATGGTTTATTTTTATCAATGATATTCTCTGTTATAACTTTCATGGTCATATAACATTTAAAATGTCATAAATTAAAGTGTGTGTAGCTGCTGATTTGACACATTTAAACGGTAAAGTGCATTAAAAAAATGGAGACAGAGAGTGTGCGAGAGCGAGAGATAGAAGTAGAAAAAGAAAACGCAATCAATTCAAAATTGAAAAATTACAATAGTTGTGTCCAATTTGGGCTCTTAACAATTAGATAATAGTAAAATTCGTAGCTATATGTCATGATATCCATTGTTGTTTAACATTTTCGAATCTATTTGCAGGTGAAAAACCATATCAGTGCCAGTGGCCGGATTGTGAATGGCGTTTTGCACGTTCGGATGAATTGACAAGACACTACAGAAAGCATACGGGCGCTAAACCATTCAAATGCATTGTTTGTGAACGTAGTTTTGCTCGTTCCGATCACTTGGCTTTGCATATGAAACGTCATTTACCCAAAAACAAATGAAGTGGAGAGACGAAAAATCGACGAGAAAGAAGAAATGATGTGTATATGCTCTGATCATAGTGTTCCATGCTCTGTGACATCATCATTCAATCCAGCATTGAGATATTGAGATTCGCAAGTGGAATGCGGAGAAAATGCAAACAAAAAATGTTGTTGTTATGTATAGTTTTATATTTTTGTCTTTGAGATTTCAATGTAATTGGTAAGGTCTATAAGAAAGGATGAATTGTATAGTCAAAAATGTTCATGTATTTTATGAATCACATTCTCGACACTTTGCAACCATCATTTGGCATGACCAATGTGTAGTGGTGTCGAAAAACCAACCGGCAACTATTTGGTGACGTTCGCCGAGTGTCAAGCAAGTGAAAAGCATGAACTATTTTATAAATAATCGTGTGTGTGAGGTGGTTTCAATTGAGCCTCGCTTTCGCGTTAAGCAGATCTCAATCATTAAAATGGCAATTTATTGTCGAATCTATCAATATAAAATTCACATAAATAATATTAAAATTAAGCAATGTGTGTGTTTGGCGAAATTAAATTATTTTGTGGTTTTCAACAAATCGATTATTTGCGCGGATTTCACATACCGGTATATATCGATATAAGAAAAACATTAGTAGAGAGCTTCAAAATGTTAAGCATATTTCGATTGGTTATAGCCTTTCGAACGAAATAGAAAATATCACTGAATTTCTGAATGTCGAAAAATGATCATGGAGTTGTTTTTTTTTTTTTTTTTTTTTTTTTCATTTTGCACCAAAATAAAATTCTCCAATTTTCATTTCGCACATAAAAAATGTGTTTATTACTCGACACCACATCGCATTGATTTTGGTGGCAACAGCTTTAGAAATCATAAATTGTTATGCGATGTTGAGTTGCAATTTTTAAACGCACAAAACCAAACCCAAAAATGGGCATTTTGTCACAGTTTCTGGCTCGTAGAGGCTTACCACACATTACCGCCTGTACGTTTTTGTCAGGGAAATGCAGATTTGTTTATAATTTTTTTGTTTTCGTTTGTCATCTTCTTCTGCTCTCTGATAAACTGTATACAATTTTAAAACGATTGAAATACAGCAATTATGAAGCGTACAAAATATCGGTGAATATATATAGGAACAATAGCAAAAATGCATGTTGAATTGAAACGAACACGATGATTTGCATCATTATTTCATTATTATTATATATATTTTTTCAGTGCCGTCCAAATGTATAGAATGAAAAATAGAAGAGGAACACGAAATAAATATATACGCGCATACATGCACATTGAAGTGAATACAATGTGCACAAAGTGAAGAAGAGCGAAAAATTCGTGCAAACAAATAAAATAAAAGAAATTCTTAGACGTATGGTGCATGAATGATTTACAACGCCATAAATGACGTGTTTTGAATACTGCCAAGACCCAATTAGCCATTTTCTTTTTCTTTCATACAAAAAAAAAATATGTTTGGTGTTTTTTTTTCTCACTCGGTTGTTACTGCATTGTGTGTTTGAATTGAAAGAAATGCGCAGACGTGTGCTAATGTTGATGCAGTTCTTCTCTGTGTCGTTTTTTTTCGCTGCTGCTTGTTGCGTTGCAAATGCATTTCATTTTAATTTAAAGAATTTCTTTTATCTTTGGTGCTTTTTTTTATTCAGGCTTTATTCATACATTCTACTTACTTAAGAGGTGAAAATCGATTACCTAGTTAAATGCTCATTCGTGTAGCGGATATTATTTACAATTGATTTTCTGTTATTCAGTTAAAAGTGTCTCTTTGTTGTTTTATTATTACTATTTTTTTTTAAAATATAATTTTATTGCATTTCAAACTCATAAATACAACATGCATTTGTGGGAATTTACTATTTTAAAGCGCTATTTAAATGTATGAAATATTGAAAGTCACACTTTTTATTTCCAATTGCAATTGAAGAGTATTTTGAGCGGATTTTATCACATGCACAACAAAATTGGCCCAGAATTAATTGCTGACCATTTTTATATGTACAGACGTCACAGAAATTGAATAGTATTTAATGGCAAAATTTTATTGTAAACCCAAAGATTTGCTCGCGGAAATCCATCAGGGCTGTCAACGGTGTCATGCAGCTGTGAAATAGATTTAAAAATACAATACGATTTAAAAGAAAGAAAAAAGAACCAAAGAAACGTTAAATGGCCCATTCCCCAAATTCATGTAACAGTTCTGATGAATTTAAAATTAAAAATGATACCGTTGTTTCGCTCTTCAGCTATCATCGTTCACAGAAAATGAAAAACATTCAGCCCTTTTTTAGAATATCGATTAGATAACTGCAGTTATGTAGACGGAAATCAAGAAAATAAATCACAAAAAGATGCAAAATCCAAAAATAAGTTATTATTCAACAGTTTGAGATGATAAAACAATGTGCCTAAACTTTTACACAATACACACTTAGATTGTATTCTACGGTATGCCTTAGACCAGTGCCTATTGTAATCGCAATTTTTTTTTTCAATACTAAACGAAAATTGGCAAGCAAGAAAGAAACAGTAAAATGCATAGATGCGTTGAATGAATGCCTGTTAAAAAAACTGATGTACAGATACGATTATCTGCAAATATGTGTGATGATTCTTGAAAATTGCATTTACGATTATATTATTTCCTAAAAGCAGACATTATTATTATTATTATTGTCTCGAAAAACGAAGATGTCTTTATGAGCCTTAACTATATAGAAAACACTACATTTGAGCCGTAGAAATAAACGTTGCACGTATATATGTAGGCATAGTATAACTATATTGCATCCCGAATTTGTACTTATTGTTTTCAAAACGAAAAGGTGTATAAGCAAGCGTGTATTGTATAATTTCTCTTTGTAAACTCATTCCATAAGCGCTTTTTTAACGCCTTTCGATAAAATCGTTTTCATCATCGTCTGATTTGTTTTGTGTGTTTTAAGCTCAAATTAGAGAGAATAAGTTTATATATATATATATTTATCGATTTGCGAAGAGCACGTAAAGTCACAAAAGTTCTTTTTTTTTTGTCTTTATTATTATAATAAATGAAATAAAAGAAAATTAGCCAACATCAAACCATTGATAAGGTACATGTTTTTTTTTCTTATTTAATTGTGAACAGGCTTTATGGTTCCAGCGGTGGCAAAGCTAAGTGAAGATAAGTGATATTTTACAATATATGATTGATCAAAGTTTTATCAAATATCATTCGAAAACACAACAGCGGATTTCTTCAAAGAGTTTTCAACAGTTTTTATTGCTTAGTAATCCACCGTGTATAAGTGAATATTGAATGTGCAAATATGCCACATTTAAATGCAGCATTCAATCACATGGATCTTATTTCCCATAAAAACAAAAACAATCAATTAAATAGTTTCATTGTAGTACAATGATTGTACCTAGTCCTAGTGATGGACATTTTCATTTTTTTTTTTCAGCAGATAATTTCAAACCCGTCCTTCGAAGGTCTTGTATCTTTATTTTCAAAATTATTGTATAATAGAAGAGGGTGTAATTTTCCGGGAATCGACATTACTCTGCTCAAACCATCAATCGACATTATTCGGTACATTTTCAAAAAAATTTTAACACTTTTATTTTCGTGAAGAAATGTGAAAGAAATACAATTAGTCTGTAATATTCTCAATTTCCCATGGAATCGATAAACAAACAATTTTATCGATTCAGTCAGAAGCCAATCAAAATGATTTTTCACAAAATCCAAATCGAAAATAAAAGAAAATCAAAGCGAAACGATAATACGATAATAATAATAAGAATGAGGATATAAGAACAGACAACGATGGTGTCGATGCAATACGGAAGAAAACAATTTACGCTGCAACTCCCACGATGTGTATAATATCGTGGTATATATCGGTTTATTAAATATTCGATTTCATCATCATCGTATGACTTCGGGCCAAGACTCTGAAACAGACAGACAGACAGAGGAGGTGAGTTTGAAAGACAAAAACAACCCAGTATATACGTATGTATGTAAAGGTCATGATTGTTGAACGCGTAAGTACATATTTGATTCATGAAAGAGAATTAAAGAGAAATCGAAATCCAACATATTTGAACTTTAATCGAACAAAGTGCAAAGAAAACGGTTTTATGTTGTGGGTTTTTCGTTTCGTTCGATAATTATTGCAAAAACGTAATGCTGTTAGCAGTAAGCGATTCGTTCTTTGTTCCTCTACTTTGTTCACGCGATGGCTGAAACCGACCGAATCTATCGATTGTAAAGAGCTAATACGTATGGTTAGATCTTTACTAACGAGAAAGACAGTTTAATATTTTCTATATATATACATATATATATGACCATTTTTGAACGACGAACCGTGTGCACACAGCATCGAGTTATTTGGAATGGTAAATATAGTCATTTTGCGTCTGAAATAAGTGTTAGGCGTATGGAAATTTATAAAGCATCAATGTAGTGCTGCAAAATCTTTAGAAAAAAAAAAACATTTTTTTTTCATTTTTAAACATTTGCTCGTCAAATTTATTAATTGGTTTCGTATAAAAGTCAAATCATTTCTGGTTCATTAAGTCAATTTGTTCTCACATTTAACTCTTGTCTCAATTTCGTTCAAAAAATGTGTTCACTATACTTTCCTCTACTTTTATTTGTGGTTCGTTTAAACAATTTCAAATTCATGATAACTGTAATAATCAGACAAGACGAATTTTTTTTTCGAATTCTTATTCGTACATTTTGATAATTGACTATCTTTATTGATTACTTGCTTACGTATTGTAACAAACATAACTTCTACATATAAACTGAAACTATGTATTTTCATCAAATATAATATTTTGCAATAAATCTATTCTGATTTTCATTACTCGCAAAATATTTAAGCAATGAAAAATACGATTTCAACGAAATATAATGTGCGATTGATTTAAACCTTATACATTTGAATACAATAATATTTTTTGAACAATATTATGCCAATCTTTCAAACATCTACTTTGTGCAGAATCCTAATGAAAACGGAAAAAAGGAAAATAAAGAGAAACTATGATAGGTGTAAATTAGTTACATTTTTTTCATTTGATATAAACGTTATTTTTCAAAATTTAAAGCAAAAGATAAAATTATTGGATGATGATACACTGTTTTCTTAATTGTTTCATTTTTTTAGACCATTCATTGCTTCGTTTTTATTTATTAAATAAATGATAGATAATTCGCTGTTCAAAAAGTGTTTAGCTTGGGATTTTGTTTTTCGTTGAGCAACAAAAAGTGCCATCGATGTTTTTTTGTGCTGTCAGATGAGCGTTGAGAGATTTTTCAAATAAAATTTCCTCTCGTTTTTATTTTATTAATGAAGTTTCAACATGAAAAAAGTACTAAAAGTGTAATAAGCTTAAATTTCATTAAGATATTATTCTTTTGAACATTTAACGAAATCATAACACCATTATTACATGTAAAACATGAAATATTCAGTTTTGATTTGAAATCCAAAATACTTCCTGGGAAGACCAAAAGCGATTCCATTTTAAATGAAGTATCATACAGATTCTTTAGCCTTCAATTTTGAGGCAAATTTCTATCAAATTGAAACCGAATTTCATTCATTCGATCTCAAACATTCAAGTAGCTGAATGTGTACTTTTGACAATAATCAAAGATTCAACGTGACAGTAAAATTGTGAAAGATTGAAATTAAATAAGTGTTTTTAATACTTCTCCGTGTGAACACCTGATATCAAATATAAAATCAATGAGTCAAAATTTTGCCATCACAGCGAATCTTATTGCCCATGTCTTATTTTTTTCTTCTAGCATCAGTGCTGAGTGAAACACGTTTTTGAAATAAAATCTTTTCGTTAAATATTTATCAAAACTCTAAGTACAACCGAGAAATAAATGGAACGAAATTCAAAATAATAAATAAACAAATAACCTGTCAAACTTACTCCATTGGTTGTGACAAAGTCAATTAAGTTTCGAAAGCAAAATGTTTTTTATAAAAGGGAGGACTGAGTAGCGCTTTCGCTTTTACATGCAGCAAAATCAAAATAAAAATTCAATATCTAAAACGTAAGAGAAAAAGAAGCAATTTTACATGCAAAGCATTCATTCGTACCAAAGTATTAAAATGACGAAAACAAAGAAATCAAATACTGTGGTTCATTTTATGCAAATAATAGTAACAAAGATAAATGAACCGGTCAAGCGATCTGATCATTTTTTTTGTTGTTGTTGGCACAACAAATTTTTATTTATTTAATTATAATGTTCAAAATTTCAACGATTTTCAAAAAATTAAAAAAAAAAAAAATTATAAAAAATTAAAAGAAAATGGTTATGTGGTTATTTGATTGTTGTATTTCATTAAAATTGTTGCATTCTTATTTGATCGAATTGATTACACTTTTATCAATGGAAACGAGTTGAAAAATGGCACGGTATGCTTAAAAGCAACTATATATTTCATGTGTATTTTAAAAACCGCGTAATATGATATATACGGTCATAAGCACGTTTTGTATTTTTTATTTCTCATTCACTTCATGTGAACAAATTCATTTCATTTGAATCAATTACACAGTGAATAAAGAATAAAAAAGCAATTGGATAGGATTTTACATAAGAAATTTAGGCCATTTTACTTAAGAATTGTATTTGTTTGTGTGTGTGTCTTTTTTTTAATTCAAATAAATTTCAGCAAGCATTGGGCTGGGTGTGAGCTTTAAGCATAGAATTTCACATCGAATAAATATAGTGCATTCTCTTCGTAATTGCCAATGATGTATCTATCTATTTACGTTCAAATTGAATAAAATGAATTGAAATGATCAAATCACTTATTTGTATTTTATGGTTTGTATTTCAATTTAACGTTAAAACACAACAGTGATTTGCTGTTATAATGCACCGAATTGAAATAATTGGCTGACACATTGGTTCGTTTATAATAAAGATATATTCACTAGTTGGTGTTTGTTGTTATTGTTTTTTTTATGCTCAATTATATTCATCATCATTTTGCAATTAGCAATTACAAAAGTTTTATTTACCAAATTTATTCGAGTATTAAAGAAAAATAATTAATTAAAATAAATGAAAAAAAAAAAACAAAAGGAAACAAAGGATAGTAATAATTCAAACCTTCTTGGTAACGTTATCATAAAAGTTAACGGAATTTTATGTTTTGATTTACAAATGTATTTGGATTTATTATATTTATTTTTTTAAGTGTTTTTCTTCTTCTTCTTCTTCATTTTCTTCTACTTTTGTTAAAAAAAACTTTGTTCGGTTTATTCTCTTCCTTTTTAAATGAAATTAGAAATTGGAGTTTTTTTTAATTTAGTTTGATTCATCCAAAGATTCATCAACAGACTCATTCTTTACGGAACTATCATCTGGTGTAATCCGCGATGCAAGGCGAGATGAACTTAAGCTTATACTGCCGCCGCCACGTCTGAAAATTATATCAAAAAATAAATAATACAATTGCTACTGTGAGTTGCTGTTTGCATTTAATTCGTTTCACCGATTACAATGTTTATGGCGACCATTTTTTTTAATATATCTTAAGTTTAGACCCACACAAAAAAATGGCAAAAAAAAACAAATCGTAATAATTACCTAAGTTTATTTTTGAGAGTGTTGATTTCTCGGGTAAGTGCTTCAATTTGTTCCAAATACTCTTCGTTTTCTCTCTGTGCTTTTCGCTTTTGAGCCTTCTCTTTTTGCAATTCCTCTTCTAATTCATCAACATTTCGTTTGCTTGCCTTTATACGGTTGTTGCTCTATTTTTATTGAATAATGAATGAAAACAAAATTAATATTCCCATTTAGAGATGATTTGATTTCCAATGTTTACGCATACCTTTTCGAGTTGTTCTTTGTATTGATCGACATGACGACGTTCGTCTTCAATGTTGAGCGTAAGTTCCTTGATCTTTTTGTCAAGTTTTCGATTGGCCTTTTGTTGAAGCAAACGTTCCTTCGTTTCATTCTCCAATTGCTCTTCGGTGTTAGTAATTTTGCTTTCTAGTGCCGAAATAGTAGCCTTTGTTTTTGTTCGTTGTGTTGTTTCAATTTCGGCCAATTTGGCTTTGAGCTCCTTATTTTGACGCTCAAGAAGGGCACGTGCATTTTCCGTTTTAACTGTTGAATTGGACAAATTTATTATTGAACATATGGTTACATTTAAAAAATAGTTCATATTGATTTGGTTTCTTCATTTATTTTTTTTTGTTCTTAAATTATAGCAATTAAAGCGAACACAATTGAAATGCCTGTACAAACCTGTATTTGATCTTTCTGTGGCAAGTTCAGTACTAATTTGTTCGATGGTAAGTTGAGATTTGCGATTGCGTTCCAAAATTACTTCCGAGTTGGATTGTTCCTCTTCCAATTCTTCTTCAAGCGAAGCGATGCGAGCTTCAAGGCGTCGCTTCTCGTCAACGACCAAGCTTGATTTATTTGTGAGCGATTGCATTTCATCGAGCAATTCATCACGTTCAACTTCGGCAGCGCGTTTAACACGTTCAGAGCTGGCTAAATCTTCGGAAAGTTGCATAACTTCGGCTTCAAGTGCTTTTGATTTTCGTTCGGCCTCTTTGCATGCAGCGGCCAATTCTTCTTTTGCAACTCTGGCATCTTCTGCATCGCGTAAAGCATCCTTAATTTGACCCTGTAATTTTTTGGCCTGTTTGACTGCATCCTCTTTCATTTTATTGTGCATTTCCAATGTGGCTTCAATGTCCTTGAGGTCACTTTCAAGCTTCTTCTTGGCAGCAATGGCGGCTGTAAATGAACAACAACCATAAAATAGTTAAGTGTTTCACAATTGAACACCAAACGAAAATGTTAAATCATTTCTTACCTGCACGTTGTTTACGTTCTTCATCTAATTCAGTTTCCATATCACGTAGTGCCTTCACCAAGCCACGACGTTTCTCTTCGGCCTGCTCTTCTTTTGATTGAATGTCACGTTCGAATTGTGCGCGCAACGCTTGCATATTTACTTCCAATCGTAATTTTGCGTCTTCGGTCAATTGCAAATCATCTTCGAGCTCTTCATTTTGCGATTTCAATTCGGCCAATTGTCCTTCGAGCGCACGTTTGGCTTTTTCCAATTCATGCACATTTTTGTCGGCAGTGCCTTGCGAATTGGCCAATTCATCTAATTCATTTTGTAGTGCCTTTCGTTTTTGCTCCAAATCATCGATCTTATCCAATGCTTCGTCGAGTTCACGCGTCAAACACAATACCTTACTTTCCTTTTCACGTGCTTCACGTTCAGCAGCATCACGTTCTTGGGCATGCGCTTCGCTGATTGCCTTCTCTTCGGCCAATACTTTGTCGAAATTCTTTTGTTTCTTCTCCAAATCCAAGACTTTTGTTCGTTGTGCTTCTAATTCTATCGTTGCATCCTCCAATTCAGATTGAATCTTTTTCTTGCTCTTATCTAAGCGATCATTAGTTGCCTGTAATTCCTGAATTTGACGTTGCAATGCTTCGATATCTATGACGGACATGGAAAGAGACATTGATTCATTAAATTATAGTAAAACAAATTTACCTATTATCATGGGTTTGTTGATTGTTGAATACAACAGCACATTCATTTGAACGGTCTTTTTCACCATAACTAACCTTTATTGCTCTTTTTGCGCGCCTCTTCCAAATCTTTAACCAAATCATTATCCTCTTCAGCTTTTTTCTTAAGCTCTTGCATTTGTTGATTCACTTCGGCCAATTTGCGTTCGTAGTTCTTCTTCATTTCTTCATCTTCTTCGATTTGTTCCTGTAGTGACTCTTTTTCCGATTCGAATTGACGCAGTTTCGTACTCAATGCCAATTTTTGGCGTGTTTCTTCCTCCAAAAGTTGTTGGGTTTCGGTTAATTGACTTTCCATTGTTGCCGCCGACTTAAGAGCTGCTGCTGCTTTCAAATCAGCTACTTCCAACTGTTCGGTAATGTTTTCGATTTCTTGCTGTAACTTGGCATCACGTTCCTGAAGCTCTGACCGTACTCGTTCAACGTCAGCCAATTTAATCTAATGAATGACAACAAACACATCGTTGACAATATTATATACAATTTTAAAATCAACAAAAGAACAACCAATAGATAAATAAATTTACCTGAAGTTCAGCAATTTGAGTTTCGGCTTGTTTGCGACGTCGGTCATTTTCTTGTTTTGATGTATTAACATTTCTCAATTCAGTAGCAAGATCGGCATTTTCCGCCTCCAATGTTTGTTTGGCCTTTTCCAGTCCGGCCCGTGCTTTCTTCACATTTTCCATTTGATCGTTGATGGTTGAAAGCTCTTGGGAATGTTTGTGTCGCATTTCTTGTACATAACTTTCATGCGTCACAGTCTCTTCTTCGAGATTCTTTTTCAATGAGGCCAACTCTTGTTCACGTTTTGATCGAAGCTCTTGTTGGGCGGCCGTTGTGTCCAGCGAATCCAATAGTTCATTTTTCAATGCTTCCAATTCTTCGCTGAGGTCACGTCGATACTTTTCTGCTTTGGCACGTGCCAATTTCTCGGCTTCGAGATCTTCTTGAATTTCAGTGAGTTGTGATTCAAGTTCGCGTTGGATCTTTTGTGCTTGGGCTTTTGCAGCCGATTCTTCATCGATGCGTAACAATGTTTGCGTGAGTTCATCTTCACGTTTGGCAAGCTGCACTTGCAATTCTTCGATTTGAATGCGTCGTTCGTTTAATTGATCGCGCAAATCGGCAAGTTCGGTTTCGATTTTTCGCTTGCTACGATCAGTTTCTTGGCGTTGTTGATGGTCCTTGAGCAGACGCTCTTCAAGTTCGGCAATGGTAAGCTCATGTTTCGCCTTTAATTTTGTTAAATGTTTTGCCTTTTCCTCTTCTTCGGCTAATGTCTGTGATAAATCGTTGGCACGTTCTTCAAGAGCTTTTTTCTCTGTAATTCAATGAAACATAAATCAATATGAACACAGTGGATATAAATGATAAAAATTATTTCTGAAACAGAATACACTTACCTTTGATAAGTTTTTGATTTTGATCGTCGGTTGCGGCCAAATCCTCTTCATATTTCTTGATCTTTGCATCCAATTGCACTTTTTCCAATTGCAATTTTTGCCGTGCACTTTCCTCTTCTTCCAGTTGTTCTTCGAGATCTTGAATGTTTAGCTGGAGTTTTTTCTTTTCGGCACTGAGATTGCCGGCTCGTTCTTCTTCCTCCACGATTCGGCTCTCCAATTCGGATATCATTTCTTCAAGCTCTTGTTTTCTGGCCACTAGACGAATACGACTCTCCTCAGCTTCGGCACATAATTCAATTTCGGCTTGTAGCTGTTCGGCTAAATGCGTTTTCTCTTCGATGGCTTGTTGGAATTTACGCTCATAATCTTGTGCATCGCGTGACAGTACATCCAATTTTTCGCGCACTTGTTTCAATTCATCTTCTTTTTGCACCAATTTTTCTTCTTGTTTAGTGACTTCCAACAATGGTTTGACCTTGGTGTACAAGCGCCACCATTGCCAATTACGAAGCTTCAAGTAGGCGGCACAGTTTCGTTGAATGATACGAATTGCATTTAATTGTTGTAAACGTTTTTGATAGTTACGTCTCGCCAAAAATCCACGACAGAATGCTTGGAAATTGACAATTAAATCGGTGATCTTGTAATCACGTTCTTCTTCAAGATGTGCCAATACACCGGCCCGGAAGAAAATTTTCGATTGTCCAACACGGAATAAATTCGAGTCGAGTTCCAATGCTTTGATCATTTGTTCGCATGCTTTTTTGCCATCCATGAAACCCTTTGATATGACATTCGGTGTGAGCAATTCGTAACGTTGCCGGAATTCTTGGAATGGTATACGATTTGGGAAACCTTGACGACAAATTCGAATACCTTCGAGCACACCATTGCAACGCAACTGATCAAGCACAAGTGGTGCATCAATTTTACCCGATCTCTTCTCATGATTTGGTATGATGCATCGAACAAAGTTTGGATTTGTATTGCGCAATGTGTCCATCAATTTGGCCAATTGATCTTTGTACAAATGCGATACGGTACGGAACATGCCTTTGCGTGTACGAGCACCAAATTGGGTATCGGTAAGTGCTTGTTGTGCCATTCCAACAATTTCGGCATCCTTCCAAATATTAACAACAAATGGATCCTGCGATGTTTGCAACAGCGATACAATATTTTCATTCAATGGGTCCATGTTCTTCATCAACCATTTATTAGCCGAATAATCCACTTTGCCGGCATAATGAACGATCGCAAAATCGGCAACGCCACGAAAATCGGTTTTCATGAATTTTGGATGAATTGAATGAGCGTTGACAAGCTTTTCAACAAAAGTTTTATCGGTTGCTTTTGGGAACCAACATTCTTCGTCCAGCAATGCCATAATACCGCCTGGTTTATCAATTAAATCAATAGTTGGCTGCAAATCCAAACCGAAATCGATGAATTTCCATTCGATACCCTCGCGTTGGTATTCCTCTTGTTCGAGAATGAACATGGTGTGATTGAACAATTGTTGTAATTTTTCATTCGTGTAATTGATGCACAATTGTTCGAATGAGTTCAATTCAAAGATTTCAAAACCGGCCATATCCAAAATACCGATGAACGATGCACCCTGCCGTTTTGTACGATCCAATGATCGATTAATACGATTTACAAGCCATTTGAACATACGTTCGTAGCACGCCTTGGCAATTGCTTCAACGGCAAATTCAACTTGTTCTTTTGTTTGTGCCTTGGTCACAAAATCACGACCGACTTTGATACGCGGTGTAAGGAATGCACGAGTCATGTCTGTCACATTTAATCCCAACAAATGTGCAATCTTCTGGGCAACTGTATTATCGGGCAATGTTGCTTGATCGGAACTACGTTCTTGTTTGAATTTCATACAACCGAATAATAAAACAGCGCTTACAATACGAAATATTGAATTAAAATCATCAGATGTCATGCCCATGATGTCCATGCTCTTAACGGTTGCTTGGAATTCAGCATAATCATCAACACCAGGTACCGGAAGACTGCCATTCGACAAGAATGCATACGTTTTTATGTCATCTAATATAAATTTTTCTTTTTGTTCGGGTGTTGCACCAGCCAATAGCTGATAAAATATATGGAATGTTCGTTCATCCTTAGCCTGACGAATGGCACGAGATTTCTCAAGTAAATAGGTTTCGATATTAGCACCAGATATATAACCCGAAGCATCGAAATTAATTCGAATGAATTTACCCTGTTTGATTGTTGGTTTGTGTATGAATGAAAGAGAAAACGAAAAAAAAAATGTTTTTGAATTTGTTACTTTCAGCTGCAATGTCACTTAGACATTGTTTATATGTATATGTCATCATACTTACAAAACGGGATGAGTTGTCATTCTTTACAGTTTTTGCATTACCAAATGCTTCTAAGATCGGATTGGCTTGTAAAAGTTGCTGCTCCAATTCGCCCTGTAAATGAATTGTTGAACAAGAGAGAAAAAAAAGAAAGAAAACAAAACATTGACAAATTAGTAAATGATGTGTCCAAAATGTGATGTGTATGCGACCTTGGTACAGTCGAGGTGTGTATATGATTTTAATGAAATGAAATTGGAACACGCGAATTACTTTAACACGAATATGGTACAAAATGATTTAGTCTTTTTTTAGAGTAGAAATTGAGGTTTTTTTTTAATTTGAGAGGAAAATTCATGAGAAAGATGACTTGAGACGAATTATTACAATTGAACTCAATGAAATTATTTTCTATATTATTTTTGATAATTCTCACACCCAAGGGTAACATTTACAAGAATATTTTGTTCAAAGCCGAATTATAGATGGGATAAATGAATCTAATTATAAAAATTATTATAATTATGATTAGAATTGGATGATCTATAATTTGAATGACTATGATACGGAATTGATGAAAACAAATAAGAAACAAACAAATGTTTCAAGTTATTTTCTTTTCTACACTTTTTACATTGTAACTAAGCAGCTATGAAATAGTGCGAATTTTGATATGGGTTCATGGAATTTAATACAAATCCAAAACAAAAATGAAAGAAAATACTTTACCGCAAATGATGAATGGTTCTGCTTAAACCAATCGAAATTGACATATTCATGTTAGTGTGTTTTGTTTTTGTGTGATTTTTTTTTATACATTTATTTTGTGTGTTATTCGAAATGGCATCGCATATGATAATTGTGGTCAAAAATGAATGAGAAATAGATAGCGCGTGTGATTTCGTTCATAAATCCCCGTGTTCCAGCGATGATGATTTCGATAATATCGTTGAATTTGCATGAATGAAATATGTGTATAGTTATAGTTTTAAGATGTTGTTTTTTTTGTGTGCACAATTAGACATGGTTTATTTTATCGATAGAAGAGAAAGCGAGTTTGTTTTTAGTGAACGCAGTGTATGTGTTACATAAAATGAAGAATTCCGGTCCATTTTTTATTTAATTTTTTGGTTTTGCATTTTAAAATGAGAATTTTCAAAACGATGGTAGCGGAGAAGCAAATGTTTTTTGAGAAAAAAGAGACAAAAAAGAAATAAGAATGGTGAATATATTAATTTTGAATTTTTCAGTTGATGCCAAACCAAACATAATTTCAAAATTACCAGCATCAATACAAATCAAAAAAAACTCTTTCAATTCTTATGTTTTAAAATAGTGCTTGTGAACAAAAAAAAACGAAAGAAAAACCAACTACAACAAGGAAGAAACATAATCCATTCAAATTTGATTTTTAAAAATGATTGCTTAAATTTTTTTCGTAGGCACCAAATTGAATTTTAACGCATGCTTATACAATACGGACACAAAAAATACATCGTTCTAATTTAGGTTTCTTCCTTAAATTTCGTTAAGTATTTTGCCCATGAAATTACTCTTATGTGTATGAGTGTATGTGTGTATGTGTGTATGTGTGTGTGTGTGTGTGTGTTTTTTTAAACAGAAAAATAAAAACAAAAAACAAAAATAATTCATTTCATACTTACGATAATAAGTGCTGGATGTGGGGCCTGTATTTGTGTGTGATTTTGTGTGCATATTTCACAAATGTGCATAAAGGAATTTTGTTCATATTTCGAATATGAAACAATATTTGACAATATTCAATCGTATGTTTCAATTCGGAAAAAAATGGGCAATGCGCGAAATGGTTTTCAGATCATGCCCAGATCACAGTGTCATAAAGATCATAGCGTGATCAAATGCGTTAACATTCCATGAGAAATTTGATTGAAATATTTAAACGATTTAAGGTGCGCATGTGTTCAGTTTCAATAAGGTTTCATTTCATTTTTGTTCGTTATGTCGCCGTTCAAATAACGCACATAACATCATCATATTCCGCAGGAGATGTAGTTCAAACATAAAACGAAAATAGAAAAGAAAGCAAAATGAAGTAAAAAAACCAAAAAAAAAAACAATAGAATTTTTTTTTAACAAATCAAATAGAGCAAAAACAAATTTTACTAAATGGAAGCACAAACAAAATAAAAAAAAATCAATTCAATACGCTATTTATACAAAGTACAATAGATAAATTATATACGAATATCGTAAATAAACTTAGGACGTGCATACCTACGCCATACAACCATAACATTTTATGCAATTCATGATAAGAAAATAAACGATTTTCTAAAAATACAATTACCGAATTCAAACTATGAACGCTTATCATGTTCGTTAAAAGCTAAGTTGTACAATAAACGAAGAGAAACATTTCTCTTAAAAGAAAGAAAAAAATCTATCGAAAAGTTCCAAAGTTCATAGTCATCATTTTGAAATGTTGCCATTGAAGGTAGATACTATGGGACTTTTTTAAATTGGTCGTAAATGGAATAATTCAAATTGGTTTCGCTGAAATATAAAAGCGAAGAACCGAAAAAAAATATGTAAGTAATAATTGCTGACGACAACAAATAATGCTGCTAATGAATTTTCGACGACAACGACACCAACAATAATGTCAGTGCGGTGACACAATTTACAATTTAAAGCAAATATTTATAATAATTTGCTACAAAAACAACATGTTTTAATAATACGACCGATACATATATATATTTTCTACAATGCAGCTTTAAATTGAAAAGGTAAAATCATCATAAATGGCAACATTGTTTCGGAATCTATTTTTTTGCAAAAAAAATAAAAATAACAAACAAATACGTCGACATCCAAAACGGCCATCGGTACAGTTAATTGAGAGCACCTCGAATGTATTTCTATCTCTTTTTCTTCCCCTCTGTATATATCTGGTTTTAATTATATTCACATTTGAATCGAAAATTGAGTTATCTCGGAAGTCACGTATAGGTACATATATAAAAAAAAAAATTAATTCTGAACGCTTATAAAAATGTGTGCCCATTTTTGGCAATGTCTTCGAAATGATATGAGAGTAACGCGCTAAATAGAGATTTGCTTTGATTCTATTATATATTTATATATTTTTCTTCGTGTTCGCATTAAATGCTGGCGACACCATAAATAGATATAGATATATATGTGTATTTACGTGCAAATGTCGAACAGAGAGAAATTCGCATATACAAAAACAGAGAAAGAGTAGGAGCGAGACAGAGAAAGACGTGATTCATGTGGCGTTATATTAAATTGGTCGGTTTTTGGTATCGTAATATATCGAAATTCCCACGTAATATGCATGAGAGAAGAAAAAAAAATGATCACACTCAAAAAGGCAACATGTATGAAATAAGTGACATAGCATGATTTTTCAAATTTTCAATGCAAAAGACCTAGAACTTTAATTGAAAACAAACAAATAATATTCATCACTACGGGGTAATAGTTTACTTAAAATCTACGCAATTCCATTTGATAGCAATATATATGTACATAAATGTTTGTTGTCAAAATCTAGATTTTTAAGTAGTAATTACACTCACCGAACCCGATCCTTTTGGCTTTGATGCGGCTACATATGCCAAATACTGTATAACTTTCTTCGTATTTTCTGTTTTACCAGCTCCAGATTCGCCAGTACATAGAATTGATTGATCCTCGCGATCTTAATGGAAATAAAATGAAAATTTTATGATTAGTTTTAAATTGATCATCACCGTCATTGTGTTCGCTGTTATTTTCGAATGTACGTGTATATAAATGGGTTCTTCTATCGATGTATTTGGATATGTGTGCCAAAAAAAAAATCACAAAACCCTCTTAAATCAATAGAAAAAAATAATAATGATCGTTTTAAATAGTCAAACTCACGTACGATTATCCAATTACATCATTGCAACTATGATTTCGCTACTGTATAAATTCATAATTCAATGAATTCGGGTCAGTTGTCGAAAGAAATTATAAATATATGAAATCGAAAAAGTCTGTGTTTTTTTTCAAATCTTCATTCAACAAAGACAAAAAATGAGCAATACATAAATTCACTTCGGCGAATGAATCAGCGGTAAATGAGAAATGTGATATGAAATATAAATGAAAGAAGAAATAACCAAAGAAGAAGAAGAAGAAAAAAAACAAACACGACTGCAATTTACATTTTCGTTTGCTACCATTGATTGACTGTGAACATATTCGTCTATTCAGTGACTATTTGCGATTTGAAAATCACCATATAAAGATTTGTTTGGTTTGTCAATTGATATATTCGCACAGCACAGTTTTATTCGAACATATGCTTTGTTTGAATGTTTGAAGTGAAAAAAATTGTTCAGCCTGATTTCATATTTGTGGTTATATATACACACATGTATGTTTTAGCCAAACGCAAGACGATCTAAATTACACACAGATCATATTCATTTATTCTACATTTATAGCTTGAACTTTTCAATAAAACAAAACAAAAAAAAGCTAAAGCGAATGTATTGACATGTGCAAAAAGAATGGAACTCAACAAAAAAAAAACACACATACTTGTATACGCAAAGGTTTTAATTACCGTTAACTTCATAACAATTATTATTCCTTGAAAATCTCTCTATATACAACAGTTGCAGCATTGAAATATGCTACCCATTTAGATTTGAATAAATCTATGGCCTAAATTCTAGCGGCGCAATTAAATGCACTTGTATAGCATATTGAATGCGTGTATGATTTAAGGATTTTAAAATATCACAGATAGAACATAATCGAAACTAACCTTGTAACATTGATCTGTAGGCGCTATCTGTAATGGCAAACACATGTGGTGGAACTTCATGACGCTTTATGCCTTTATAACGTTCCATAATTTTTTCCGTATAAATAGCAAGTTTTTTGTATGGATTAACTACCACACAAAACAGGCCGGAATATGTCTATAAAAATTTAAAATCAATATTTTGTATTGCTTAAAATTAGATCAATAAAATAAAACAATTCATGAAAGTCAAAAAAAAAAAAAAAAATTGAGGGAAAAAACGGTTTTTAATCGGCAACATTGTTTATTCTCATCAATAATTAAATGTGCTATTTCTGGACAAGTCATTAAAAACGCATTAACACGGCGAAAAGAAAATGCTTGCGTAGGCTACCGCAACGGACATTAACACGCATCCCACTTGGACGCATGTGGAATGAAAGCAAATATTTATGCACTTTTTTGAGTTTCTTCTAAAAATTATTACTATTATGCATTTCTAGTACACAAAAAATAAAAATGAAAAAAAAAAACGTTGCAATTTTATTGTCAGTTCATTGTTCCCGTTTCAGATGATTTTTTTTTTAAACAAAGAAGTATTATCATCAGTCGCAGAGAGATTACTCATAATACAGCGTAGTTCATGTTTTCAGATTGGAATTTCATTTGTTTGTTTGTATGACACATGACATTCTTCAAGTGGTTTTCGTTGGAAATGATTTAAGGTAGTGGTCGAACCGACAAAAAAAAAACATATATAAAAATAAACGAAAAACAAACATGATGCGGATTTTCGTAAAAGTTAACATCGTTGTGATATTGATCATTTTCACAAACATATGAGCATCGTTCAAGTTTATTTATTATCGTATGAATCACACATAAATATGTATGTGTGGTTGAATGTCTTCCACTGTAGAAAACTACATTGTGACACTTGACTCTTGCATAAATTGTCGTTAATTTCCATACATGCGTATATTTGAGCAAATGGTTCGATTTTTGTGCTGATGTGAGTATTTTGCAGCTGAGAAATGGCAACGGTTTTTTTTAAAACAACCGACCAAATATGGTCGATTTGACCCTCTTTGGAGTAAACGGAACTTCTGTTTTGAATACATTACGAAATTCAAAACAAAAAAAAAACGACAACAACGCACTGCCTGCCTTTAAAAAAAATAAGACAAACGTTGGTGTTATATATCCGTTTGTCCATATAAATAGAGAAAGACAGATAATAAGTACTTGGTTGAGATTCAATTTAACATTGTACTAAGATCGAGAGAGTGCAAATTGAGACGTACATCTCTATGACAGACATGATGCATCTTTAATTAATGATAATTACATTGCAATGAACTGAGGGAGAGAGCGAGCGATAAACAATTTGATATATAATATATTGTGCTTCATTTCAGTGTGGCAAAAAAAAAACTCGTATGCATTTTTTGTTCATGATCAAATCAAATTCAATAAAAATGGACATTATAAGAGAAGCGACCAAGTTCTAGATCATAGCAAAATGAGCAACTTGTTTATGTATGAATTATACAATTCTAACTGTTTTTAAGGAATTTTTCGTTGAATTTGATCTTGAAAATTTTTTTTGCTGTAAAAATGTACGTTCTTCGAAACTGTGATGACCGGAGGCACATTTAGAAGAGAAACAAATGTCGACTGTTTTTTCCCCCATTTTAATTTGTACAAAGAAAATAAATACTTACATAAATCAATCCAGAGTAATATCGATCTTTGATATTATGCAAAACGCTTGCTTCATTTAAACAAGTTAATTCTGCCATATCTTCGACTTTATCGAATTTTGGTGGATTCATTTTTTGAATGTCATCACGTAGGATAGTAACACGTTTGCCGGTTTCGGCCAATTCCACCTCCAACTCGTCTCCATTTTCCTTTTTTATGCTGGCCGCAACGAATCCCTAGATATTTAATTAAAAAAAAAAGATTTAAAATTGATTATTGAAACATATCATTTTCATGTCGTTTCACTTTGCATTTTCAATCAAATGATCAACGCGATTTGATTTAATTGCTTAAATTCAATTTAACTACATATCAAGTGAGGTTTTTTTATTGTTCATATTTGTTTTCCGTTTAGCTGCGGAGTCATCAAATAAATATAATCTTTCATTTGTTTAATGTGCTTTTTTAAGGGCTAGAGAAATAGAAAATCACTCTAACACAGATGCACTATAATCTTTTAATCAAGTGCAATTTTCAATGTTAGAATCGAATTCGTTTGTGTGCATTGAAAGGTATGTGGCCATCGCACGAGTGTAACATGTGTATCACATACATTCATGTATATATATATAGTTCGGATAACATGTTAATGCATTCAAGTGTGGTTAAATGTACATGTAATCGCCGTACTGTGGAATTGCAAAAATACGGAAAGATCGCAAACAACAAATTCGGAATATCAAAAAAAAAGAAGCAATGGCACACCCGAATTTCGAACTGTTGTATTACAACAACAAAAACAAGAGAAACATTTTTTTACTAAAACAAATTAAGTACGTCGCGTTCCTTGAGAGAGCGAATAAAAAAGAATTGAAGAACACACAAAACATAACAAAAAAAAAAATACAACAAATATGTGAAACGCAGAGCAGAAGATCTTCATTTCGTTTTAGTTTTGTGTTCGGAACGAAGAAGAAGAAGAAGAAGAAGTGGTTGAAGTTGTTCTCAATATTAACATACGCAATCACAAACATGAGTACACACCATCTTACCGCATATTATACAAATGCGATGTAAAATGTTTTGTGTTTGTTGCTATAATGAAAACGATTCGTGCACACTGCATTACTTCATTTGTTTAAAGTATAAATTCATATGGATATTTTGGACAAGGTTATGTTTTCAACTAAAATATTCATTACGTTGAAAGTTTATCAAAGAAGTTGAGAGACGATGACGATGACGACGACGACGGTGGCGGCAGTAGCAACGAATAAAAAAAAGAAAACTTTCCACTGACGCTGAAAACGTCTTAATGTTGTTGTGTATTATTTTTTTTTCACTTCTTGAATTCCAAGTGTACGTGATATAGGGAAATGTTGATGACATAAGCCTATGTATAGCGTTTTATCTAAAAATGAGTAACCACAAAAAAAAACTTGGCAGCAGCGGAATGCTACTCTCTCGTTGTTGTTTTTTTTATATTCATTCTTTCTTTTCTACGTTTTGAATTTCTCACCTGTGACTCATGCGGTACCCAAACAAGACGCTTTTGTGTCCATTCTGCTTGCGTTGCCGGATCATTGAATTGATTCTTTTCTACCGTAAGATACTTCAATGCTGGATCGTTCCGATCAACGACTGGTTCATCACTCATTTTTATTATTTTTTTTTTTTAATATTACTTGTTTTCAATTAAAATTGTTTCGTTGATAACCGTTGTTGTTGTTATTATTATTCTTGATCTATGTATATATGTATATGTATGTATAAATTTGTTTCGTTTGGTTTTTCGGTTGTTTCTGTCACCGTTTTAGGTATTAGTAATAGTTTTGACAATTAAAAATTTGTTTTAAAGATTTTGACGTAACACTTGATATCAGAGCACTTATGTCTTTTAATGTTTAAATTGCAAAATTTCATATGATTCGCCGCAATAATTTGTGTGTGTGTATTTTTTTTTTTTAAGTTTTTTGCAAATATATCTAGATTGAGAGAAATAGAAAACAAAACTCATGTATATTCTGAATGTTATAACCACTGATTGATTTCAAGATCATATTGTGCACGCACAATTTTGTTATGAATATGCGCGTGTATGGGTGTGCGGAATTCAAACAATTTGAAAAAAAAAGTACACAGAAAAACAGATAAAAAGAACCGACAGTAATTTGTGTACACAAAATTATTATCGGCTGATTGATAGAGAAATAAACAAAAATTTGAAAATTTTAAAAACAAAAAACACACAATACAATAATAGGAAAAGAATGTGAGCTAGCACAGGAATTTAATCACTCTCGCTCTCCTGCTCTCCCGTCGTTTGAAAAGTTTGACTAATTTAAAAATGTCTGTACAGAGAAAGATAAACCAAAACAGTTCTCGATTAAGAAAAAAAAAACAACAACAACGAAAAGAAAAGGCAAATTGAATGAAACATGAAGTTGGAATAGAATGGAACGATCTGGGTATTCCATACGCACACATGAATTTTTTTTAAAAACACATTCCATACACATTACATCGCATTATGTGCATATACACATGTACAGACACAGAGAGAGCAAACTAAGATACCACGTATGAAAGTGAGATAATAACGATATTATGAGTCTTCGCCAATAAAATCTTTTGAATTCTTTTACACTAACACCAAATTATTTCTGGTGGCTTCATTCAAAGCCGACACTCAACAGCTCTTCAACAACTAAACCGAATGAAACGAACGAACGAATGTGTCGGTGAACAAGCGGATTTATTTTGTCTTTAGATTTCATTTAAAAAAAAAAAACAAAAACAAAATTAATTGGGGAAAATCCGAATGAAATTGACGAAGATAATGAATTTAATAAAATGCTTTTCGAAAGAAATGCGATATGAAAATGGTTTTTCGAACAGAATCGAAGAGTGAAAGAGAAAGAGGAACAAAAACTACCATGGATAAAGCTTTTTTTTCTGCTTGTGGTATGTATATCTTGATGTCAGAGTATATACAAACACGAATACATCAAAAATTTTTTTTTATATTGTAAAGCCATTTTGCCACAACTGAATGATGTCACACTTTGATGGTCTTTGTTACCGATTTGGCGTTGTCGACACCAACACAAATGTGAACACACACAAAATAAAATCAACAACAAACAGATACAAATTCTATCGCATACATAAATCCGCACCGCAAATTAAATTCTATGAGTATAACCATCATTTTTTTTGTTTAAATTTTTGAATCATGTTTGTATGTTGACTGAATTTATGATTAGCAAAACGGATTTTTCGAATGACTAACGATACGCCGATTTGATTTTGCACTGTTTTCGAGGCAATTTTTTTTCTCTTTTCTTGCATTAACATTGCAATTGAATTTTTTCCAACATTTTTTTTTTCTCGATTATTTCCACTCAATTTCAAAATTGACAATAAATATTTTATGAGAAAAAATCCAAAGATTCTTATACACTCAACGAGAACCGCACACATATACACGCTGCACACATATTCGTACACGAAAAAAAACAAATGTGATTTCTTTTGTATGTTGAATGGAATCGAACAAATTTTATTCATTGGATAAAACTCCTGTCTGGTTGCACAAACAAAAATTTGCCATTTATTTTGTGACAGCCATTCAGTCGCTCGATTGAAAGAGAGAAATGGAGAGAAAAGAGATTGAGCAAATGAAAATATAATGAGTAATTGATTAAATGCACACATTAAATTTAATGGCTTGTTCTCTGCCACTCTGCACTTTTTCGACTGACTCAAAATTCAAGACGGTTGAACGTTAAATCTATTGAAATTGTCATTTGCCGGCGATACATACCGAGACATACGCATACACACTAACACACGTACATAGCAAACGGGCGACAGTTTATAGTATGAAACGCACTCTCTCCGCTATTTCATCTGTATAGTTTAATTCCAGCCAATCCACTATAGGAAACTCATATAATCTTATACGTATGGATGTTTTCACTCAATACACATTGAGTGTTTGTTCGACTGCATACTTGCACATTCACTTCAATATTTTGGTTGAAAAAAACAATTATACTTAACGAAAACATGACCAAATACATAAACATATTCAAGTACAATAAACACATTCAAGTACGCTTTCGAACATACCCTTATATGATGCATTTTCATACGTGTATTAGTGTTGTTGTTGTTGTTTACTATTTTTTTTTTTCAAATTATTACAAACTCATTGACACACGTTGAATACATTTGGTACTTTTTTGTTTGGACGAGTATAAAGTGTAAAATGGTTTGGTGCATGTAATATGCTGGTTCAACAATAATTTCAACGATAATCCGTTATTCTGTTTAAATTGAACAAATGTCATGCAAGTGGACAATTTTGTACATTTTAGATTAGAGCTGCCGAACGTTAAATTATTCCATAGGCAACTCTATGTTTATAAAATTGAATGTTTGTATGTGTGTTCCCGGTTGGCGGCTAGACAGTTTCAATCGATCTGGATGATTAGAGTACCGGACTTGGTGATAAACATGCATAGGCTCACCATGGTTAGTCATCGTGGTCTACCGCGGTTTGACATTACCATTTCAACCCTTTTTGGCCGTGATCGGTCATATATGACCATAGATAGCGATATTAACTGACTAATGGACGAGATTTAATTCGATGCGATAAAAAAATCCACTCACCACAGATGACGTTCATAAATATCTATATAAGATTATTTTGAGCCAATAAGAATACATACTTGACACAACGAAGTAAGTAAGTCATAATTTTTTTATTAAACAAAAGTCTCAAATCTTAAATAATTAAAACTAGTTATTGCAATTCGAACGCTCAGCATCTGTGCAATAGCTGAGCATATTCGGCTGATCAATGTAAGTAGCGCATGCACTGTGAAACAAAGTTTGGAAGGAAGTGTACAAACAAACAAGTCACGCTGCAAATTTGAAGAAACAAACAAAAATGTTTCTAGGATTTAAATAAGTGTACAATATGTGTGTAACTAGAAATAGTCAACAGATCTTTCAGATGTACACGAAAAAAAGGTTTTAAGACCAGAGCGGACCATGGTTGCTCAAGCAAATTATACACGAAAATTACAAAAACTTTCAAATTAATTGTCCAATCAATTTGAATAAGTAATTAACCCTTTATCGCGTGCTGGTTCCCTACAGTGACCAGATAGACAAACGACTCAGGCCTTACATTGAGATATTTTCATCTATCATCAGATGCTAAAATAGAATGAAAACAATTAAAAAGATTTCTATAGTTATAAATATGGCTGAAAATATCTCAATACAATGCCTAAACCGGCTATAAAAATAAATGTGCTGAATATTTTTGTATGCGCATTTCATTAGAATGTTTCAACCGATTCCAAAGTTATTTGTGCTGATCTACAATCTTTACAGCGGTTTCAACATTTTTGCCTTCTCATTTTTTAAAGAAAAAATTCAAATACAAAATGTTATATTATAGGTATTAGGACATCTACATCATTAGTTTTGTGAAATTTTATTTTCTAATGGTTTTATAAAGAATTTGACACTTTCGGGTTTTTCTTAATTTTCTCGGGGAATGTGCACTTTTCCGGAAAACGTATGATGAGGTTTTTTTCCACGGCACATAATATAAACTTTAGATAACTGCCTCGAAATTAATTGAAAATAAAAAAAAATGCACAGTAAAGGAAGTTTCTCTTTCGTTTACTTATTTTAAGTGTGTATTTACTAGGAATTTAATGAAGAGCATATTGAATTTATCTAAAGAATCTAAATTCCAATTCTTTTATGTGGAAAACTTTCAAACGAATGTACAAATTGTTGCCGTCGTTTTAATTCGGTTCAAAACTGATGATTGCGTTCGTTTTTAACGAAAAATTGATTCACTGTCATCCGACATCGCTGCATATTTTTGATTGCCGTTGTTGTTGGGTCAAAATTTCAAGTCCTTTAAAATAGAAAAGAGAAATATGCAGACAATCAGTCAGTCAAACAGATCCCGAAATGGATGATTAAAAAACAAAATCACATAATCATCGTATTGCATACCTTTATGGCCTGTGGTAGGTCTGGCAATTTCATGTCTTTAAATTGTTGTGGTAGATTCATGCTTTTCAGTTGATGAACAACAGCAGCTGGAGCAGCTGATAGGCCGGCCTCTTGTTTAACCAAACGATTTTGATCTTCAATTCGTGCCAATATGTCTGACATATTTGTTTGTAAGACCATTCCACCTGTTGGCGTATGAACAAAGCAATGAAATTAAATACACCGAAAAGCAAAATCCAAATACGAAATGTACCCATGACAAGTTCGGATAGAATGTGATGAACCGCATCGGCATGAAATATCAAATCAAGTTCGCAGACATTTTCAAAGCATTTATCGAGTGTTTCAACAAATACTTGAATCAAATCCAGAATACCCAATTCACTCTCCGATGAATCGACGCAAAATACAAAATACAAAGTGGCATAATGTCGATAAATTAATTTATAATCGGAGCCACCAATCAAACTTCCACCTTCCAGGAAATTGCACACGTTATCATCACGTTTCGATACCAACTGAAATGTTTCTTTGATTATCTGCTGTTGAAGATCTTCATTCTGTTTTTGAAAAAGAAAAAAATGTGGGCAAATGTTACAAATTCAATATTCTGAATGTTTCACTGAAAGTGCAATCGGTGGATTGTGTGAAATATGGTAGAAATTGCTCATAATGACATCATTTGAAACCTTATTGAATAATTTAATTAGCGTTTTACACTTACAAAATATTGATAAAATTTCGACAGTCTAGGCCGTCCATGATTATTGAATACAAGAATTGCTTTAATCATTTTTTTTTTGTGGGCAAGCGATACGAATTTAATATTTTATTAAAGCTAAAATAACAACGGAATGAGAGAAAGCAGCTGATGGTAAATTCTTTTTTTTTTTATTTATTTTGTATTTTAATTTGGAGTGAATGTATAAAGATGATTCTGAACTGTCACTGACACTGGAGTATGACAACAAATACTTCAATCACTTATCAAATCAGTACTTAACGGCAGGTCGTTTGAAACAGGTAATTAAAGTACATACATTCCAATGCATACAGTCGTTGAGTATCGACAACATGACAAAACAATACGTAGGCGACTATTTAAGTTTCTTCAATATGTATGTTTTAGTATTTCCCGATGCAAACCATTGTCATATTCGTTAAGTTTAACATTTTGTAGCATAAACGTTCTCAGAACGTTTTGTCATTCGATCGTTATTTGTATTGTTTACCGTAACATGTAAATTGCGTCTCAGCCAAAAAATGAATTTTACTCGTGAAAATTTTCGTGCGATAATTTACTACGACTTTGGATTGGGTGTATCTCAACAACAGTGTTTTGATCAACTTCATTTGGCCTTTGGCGATGAAGTACCAAGTCTTCGGACAATTTATAATTGGTACAACGAATTCAAGCGCGGTCGCCTATCGCTCATCGACGAGTTCCGCGAAGGTCGTCCAAAATCAGTTGTTGTACCAGAAAACATCGATGCTGTCAGAAATATGATAATGGAAGATCGTCATGTAACATATCACGAGATTGAGGCATCCCTGGGCATTAGTGCGACCAGCGTATTTAAGATTTTACATGAACATTTAGCTGTAAGAAAGGATTGCTCTCGTTGGATACCACATAATTTGACAATCGCTCAAAAAAAGGCTCGTGTCGATTGGTGTAAACAAATGCTCAAGAAATTCAATCGTGGTGTTTCAAAATCCGTGTATTTTATCGTCACTGGTGGCGAATCATGGATCTACGCGTATGAGCCCGAAACTAAACAGCAGTCGACTGTATGGGTCTTTCAAAGTGAAGATAACCCAACAAAAGTTGTTCGAGCTCGAAGTGTTGCGAAGCAAATGGTCGCCTGCTTTTTCGCGATAAGTGGTCATGTGGCAACAGTTCCACTAGAGGCTCGTAAGACCGTCAATTCTGATTGGTACACCACCATTTGTTTGCCCGAAGTGTTTGGTGAAATAAGAAAAAACAACCGCCGTCGCAAAATAATTCTTCATCATGATAATGCGAGCTCTCACACATCTCATCAAACAGTCGATTATTTGACCGGTCAAAAGATCGATTTAATGGGTCATCCGCCGTACAGTCCTGATTTGGCACCCAACGATTTCTTTTTATTCCCGAGCGTGAAGAATAAACTGCGTGGTCAACGATTTTCATCGCCCGAAGAAGCAGTTGATGCGTTCAAAACACAGGTTTTGGAGATATCACTTTCGGAGTGGCATGAATGCTATGACAAATGGTTCGAGCGAATGCAAAAGTGTATTGATCATCATGGCGAATATTTTGAAAAACAATAAAACCATTTTCGATGAAACCCCATTGTCTTCGGTCTAGTGACCCTCGTATGTGATAGATTGTTGTTGATTTAAATTCCACTGCTCAAAATAAATCTATTAAAATAATTTTATTGTCTTTTTATTTTGAAATTTAAGCAAATATTTGTACGTTTTAATAAAAATATACATGTAATGATTGAATGTATTTGTTTTTTATTTCTTGAGATTTAAATGGGCTCTTGTAGGAAAAACATGTGATTCAAACACTCAATAGCCGATGGTCGTTGGTGTTGATCAAAAACCAACATTTGCTGTTGTAAAAAAAAAATTCAAACAAAAAATAAAATTGTTAAAAACAAATTACATTGTGGTGTCATTTTAAATGTCGCTTACTGTTAGTAAATCGTTAGCATATTCATCAAGCTCCGGACACATGTCTATCGGTCGTTTTTGTGGTCGATGTGGAAAATGATATCGTAATATTGGAATTTCACTGGGCCATTGACTTTGTTGTGGGGTACCAATCAATCTATTTGCATTGAAGTAAATTTTGAAACATTTTAAAACGTTTCATAATCGATTGCAATCAAAACTCATATGTAATGAGTTCACTTACGTAAATATCTTTTCAAGTTGATTTTGTTCGGATGTTCCTGGGAATAAGGCACGTCGTGAAAACAATTCTGCAATAATACAAGCCGAACTCCATATATCAACGGCACTATTGTATGGCTGATTCAGTAGCACCTCTGGAGCACGATACCATAGCGTGACCACCTGTAATATGGAAAACATTTTTTGTATGCGGCTTTTTTTTGCTATAAACCCAATTTTCAATGTGACTTGTGGAATATTGAACAGAAAGCAAGTGAATTGAAATCACTGCATTTTTTTAAAATATACTTACCACCGAAGTAAGTTTCATTTCGAAATCATAGGTCTTTGCCAAGCCAAAATCGGCCAATTTAATGTGTTCATCAGCCGAAACGAGTAAATTTTGTGGTTTCAAATCACGATGAATAATGCGATGTGAGTGCAAAAAGTCAACACCAGTCATTAGCTCTTTAGCAAATTTCTGTAAAAAAAAATAATTACATTGAATAAAAATCTAATCGTTCAGATCTAAAATTGCAATTCTTATATTAAAAAAAAACAGCCATCAATTACTTGAATTGTTTTTGGTGAAATACCACGATCACCGGCTCGACTCAAAAAGCCAGCCAAATCTTCTTCTAAATGCTCAAACACCAAAAATAACACTAATTGACGCTCTCGTTCCAGTTGGCCATGGCACACATCCAATAGTCTAGCCATTGAGAAAAAAATGGAGATAATTAGAAAATCATTTAGAGAAAAAAAAATGTAGTCAATTAATTGGCTTAGTTGTTTGCACGATTTGGATACAAACTTGACAATATTCGGATGTTTGAAGGCGTCCAACTGTTTTAAGAGAGCAATTTCTCGTAGTGTTGACATTGGAACTCCATCTTCAGTTAAAGCAACGCGTACTCTACAATCAAATTACACAATAATAATATTAGCGAAGTTACTCTTTATTTGTTTGTATTTTTATAATCAATTGCTTTGTAGACATGTACTTTTTGAGTGCAACAATTTTTCCGGGATTTTTCAAGTCTCGTGCTTTATATACGGTTCCATATGCACCTAAAAATATATATATATATAAAAATCAATTAAAAATAAGGAAAGACTAAAAGAAAAAAGTTGCATTCAATTTGCATAAGCAGCACTTCACCAGTTCCAATGATGCTGAGCTCTTCATAGTTTGCCACCCGTGTAATTGGATTCATTGTTCTTTTTATCAGTCTGCATAAACAATAATACTCGAAATATGTGTATTATAAACAACAATCAAAACATTGCAATGCACACACTCGCTCCACTATTCCGGTCTCAGTGTGTACGGTTTTTTTTTCCTTCTATTTTCTTCTATCAATAGAGAAAATGCTGCTGCAATTATTATTATTTTCGTTCGTTTTTGAAACTTATATATACACACACACACACTTGCAGTTGACTACCCTTGAAAAATTCGTAATTTATTTCAGGCACACACGATGCAACAATGAACACTGAAGCATTGTGTTAATAGTCATTCACAACATTGCAGAAGGAAACAGATGCTAAATATAAGCGTCGAATACACACATTCAAAGCGAATGGCAAAGAACATGGTAACCGGGTCCGAAAAATACAATACAATAACGAAGAAACTTGACATCGTTTCGGATCAGTTTATGTGATATGTTCTATCTGCATGAATTTAATGAAATGTATATAGTATTGTATCGCCATCTATTGACAACTTGCTCAAATTGTGTTAGCCCATTCACTTCCTTGTGTTTCTTGAAATTTCAATTCACATCAATTACCATCAAAATAAATCTAATTAAATTATTTATTTATTTAATTACCCCATACGATTTTCAAATCAATAATTTTTTATTTATTTATTTTTTGGTTCGATAAAAATTCGAAATTCAAACGAAATTGAAATATCGCCACAAAAACGAGGATTCAAATGTTTTTGTTATTGTATTGTAAAGAGTTCAAGTTAGCAAGTGTTGCCACACGAAGAAAAATGAAAAAAACCAAAAAGTAGGCCATTGTATTGCTGCCAATACAAAATATTTCCATTGAAGTATGATTAAATGAATTTAGATTAGTGAGGTTTATCGGAACGAAAACACGCGTTTTTATTTGCCCTTTCGCATAAAGGCTGCCAAAAAAACCAAAACAAATCATTCAAGTGTAATTTATATAAAAGAACTCCATTGAAATCATTTGGAATGATGAAAACAATATATTTTTCGTGAAAATTATGAAAATTTGTTTAAAAGAAAGTAAATAAATTTATGAGCAAACTCATAATGAAAATCGAAGTGCTTAAAGTATTCCAAATTGCAAATTGTAAATAACAAAGTATAGATTCGCTAATATCAAGGACTAAGTTCTATATTAAAAAAGTATCCACGTCAAAAAGTGAAGAAAGACAAAAGACACAATCCAAACGAAATTCGACATTTGTTTTTTTTTTTTTTTTCATCTTCGTTTCGTTGATAAATACATAGATTTTTTTTTTTGGATTTTCATTTTTCTTTTATTATTTTTGACATCGAGATTTTGACGTTATTTTTTTTGGTTGTGTGTTCTATTTGGTTATATTATTTGGTGTGATTGAAATATAAAAAAAAGAGAAGATTGAGTTATACAACCACACATCGAAATATTTAATGTTTATTTACAAGTGTGCGAGTTGCTTTCATTTAACACCGTTGCCAGTACTGTGTGCTGAGGTTGAATTGAATAGTTTTCTCTATGGCTTATGTGAGCTAGTGTGAGTATTGAACTTGCGCGCGTGTAAATTACAAGGCATACACAAAGTACAGCCTGTATATATCACAATAATATTTTCATTTTGTTGTTTTTATTTTCCATTGTTATTATTATTGTGAATGTTCTAATCATGCACCAAAACATCTTAACCGATTGTTTCGCCATTAATATTCTTCTAAGGCATATTGCTTTATATCTCGTTGCTTTTCAATAATTCGTCTGTTATGGAAAATATCAAAATATTTATTGGCGCTGATTATTGATAATTTAAATGAAATCGACCATAAATGTCCATAATTTTTTTTATGAACTATCAATATTATCGTTTGACATCGATAGAGTGGCGATAACAATGAAACGAAAAAAAAAACCTCTTAATTCTCTTTGACGGAGTACACATTTACAGCAAAGTTTGTAATATATTCGAAGGTTTGAAACCTCAAAGCAAGGTTTTATACAATATACAATTTATCCTTGCTGTTGTGTGCGTTACTCTTTTTTTTTCAATGCACTATGTACATTTTGCAATTATTTCTATTGCTTACGATGACTATAAATAAAAGCAAAATAAAACAAAGATGTGAAAGCAAAAACCAAAACATGTACATTATCATTTTCACATCCTTTCACCTCTAATGGTTTGTCCATAAAGAATTTGCGGTCGACCCAATTTTCAATTCGCTTAGCCTATTTCTTATCACACCCTTTCAAGCGCTTAGAAATTGATTTTTTCTACAAAAAAAACTACTACAGACCATCGTCACCAAAATAAAGTGTCATTTCTGATTGTGATATAATTCTAAGAATCGAGTATATATAAAAAAAAAAATCGTTTAAAATTGTCAAACCAAATGGCAATGCCCTTGATTTGGTAGCATGATTGGAACTGATTCAATCGGAAAATAGACAAAATTATAATCAATCATGATTTCAAGTCGTGGATTATAGAAGCCAAACGACTTGACTATTCATGAAACTTTAAGCAAAATATGGAAGCCAAATAACTAACAAAAGTACCAAAAATATCATTATTTATTTTTAGAAATCAGGAACCGCGAATACATGAACATCTTTTAAACATTAAATCATAAAATGAAAGCATACGGCGCATGGAGAGCATATAATTAATAAAGTGCAAAATTTTGATAAAAAAGAATATAACACAACAACAAAGACGGTAGCTGATAGTGGCAAAGGTGGATGAGAAAGGAGAGACACACACAGAGAAAGAGAGAGAGAGAAAATAAATAAATAAATAAATACGTTGATTTGTGTGTGTTTATTTTTTTTTTCTTCGAAGCACAAATACGTCTGTAATTTGGCGAATTTTTATCAATACAGATTGTGTGCGTGTGTGAACATACAAAAATACTATTATGGCTGACGTTTTTGAATTGGAACTACATGATATACATGAAGATGATCCAAATCGAGCACCCGACTCTGATGACGATATCATTGAAGTTGATGAGGTAATTGAAATCAAAATAATTAATGATCAATTTTTGTTCACTATTAAAAATCATTTTACGGATAAGTATGTTTCAATAGAAACAAGAAACTTATGGGAATTTCAACTTACTTTCGTTTTAAAAGAAAAAATGCAAACATCATTTTAAAATCGATTACAATATAGTTCTTTTCTCAGTCTGGTATGTGAATAAAATACGCATATAAATAAAAAAAAATATTTCACAATGCAAGGCGATGTGAAAGCGCATTTCTCAAATTAAAAACATAAAAACTTGTATTTTGAAAGACGTCACAGGAAAAACAAATTTTATGTTTTATTTTGAAATCGGTTCTCTCACGTTGCTTGTCACATGCATACATTTTTCATTTATTTACATTTTGTGTGTATGTGTGTCTGCTAGACAGCAATAAAAAGATCTGCCCCCCCCTTTTCAATTTATAAAGAATTTATAAATTGAAATAAATCACAGTTCATGCCGACAGACAGACAAACAGACAGAGAAAGAGAATAAACGAGATACATTTCATTTAAAATATGTTTTTTAAAACTATTATGAATTAGTTTCTTAGATAGGTTTTGTTTCATACTTTCACTGTTTACGATCCGCACAAATATTTAGCTTTGTCTTTTTTTTTATTTTCCTTTCTTTTCTGTCGCATTCATATAATGTGTACGAATCAAGTATGCCTATAATTGTCACCAGAAAGTCATTATGTATATCGCTTTTATTCTCTTTCGGAGAATGTGTAAAATTAGTGATCTTTGTTCCTGTTCTTAAATGTCTCTTTGGCGGCGCCTTTGCAAAAAAAAAATAATAATAATTTAATATATGTTATTAAATGTCTGTCAATATAGTTAATTATTCAAGCCCAGTCTATTGATTTAATCGAATAGAATACTATTGTTGTTATAGTCTTATCTTAGACGACGACGAGACGACAACAACAACAACAACAACAAAATTCTATGCACACAGATAAACCACGTGGTTTTCGTACAAATCGGCATATATGATAAATATTTTGTGCAACAGATGTCGTCATTGCGCCGAACAGTCACTTTCATGTTCGTTCTTTCTCTGTTCAACGTATCATATACTGAACACACATAAACCGCATGCACTCCTTCTTTCAGTTTCGTTGTCTCTCTTCGCTTAAAAAATACAATACAACTGAACCACAAACATCGTTCACATACATGCATCTCCGATTTGAGAATGACAAAAGAGCGTTTTCGCTCATCACATGAATGTAAATTTTGTGTGTAATCAATATATATAAAAACTTGGTATTCCAACAAAACCGTCAAATAAGCAATATGCGAACACGAGTTTGAACTTTTTGCCATATATTGAATTAAGTCAAGTTTCAAAATGAGTAATTAGATGAGGCACAACAATTTTGCAAAGACGTTGATTTTTGTCATGCATTTATTGTGTTACACGCCAGATATTTTACTTGGTTAATTGTCATTTGTCGTTCATTTTTTATTCAAAGCACAATTATCCGCCGAAAAGATTCTTCACATTTTGTGACCCGACAGTTTGTATTTTTGTTTTTATCGATGCGAAAATATCAAACATAATTACCAACAAAATTTCGGTTGATGTTCAGTAGCCAAAACTAGACACTGCTGTGTCTGTGTCTCTTATCTAATAGCTAAAATACCCAAATGTACATTTTGAGGAAATCGACTGATAATCTTGGCGTATTATCAAAAAGCAAATAAAAACATTAAATTTTATATGAGATCCCAAAAAAACCATCATTGTATTGCGTTGGTTAGCAAACATGTTTAAAAGTGTCAATTGATTATTTAATGTGAATGATCTTGAGCTTGATTTAAAACGATGTTGCGTTTTATTTCTAAAATTATAAAAGTACTTCCTACCAAACAGAAAACATTTTCAAATAGTCGACTCTCTCTCTCTCTCTCTCTCTCTCTCTCTCTCTCAATACGAGTACGGCTGTTGCCAAATATGCGATTCCATTTGACATATTTCAGGTAGAGCAATACAGTACATATAACACATTTTATCACCGGCTACTTGTAAGAATACATAAACAATTACATATTTATGTGCAAATATATATTAAATGTCACACACGTTGGTGTATAATTGATTTGAGAATAGCACGTTCAAATGTCATTAAAAAAAATTTCCTGCTTATGACGATTCGAGAAAAAATATGTCAAAACAGCAACTGTTACTAAATTCAATAAAAACAAATGCACAGAATTTTCTTCAAATTGAATCGATGATAAGAAATTTATACAAGCAGTATGACTTTGATTTTCATCTCGCTTGATGTGAATGTACAACGTATATATATTATTTATATTTCTTTATTACCGTCAAACAGCCAACATGAATTAATTTATATCAATAAAGATATCGTTCCTATTATTAGAATTCAACTTGAATACAGACGATTTTAGACTTCGGATACTAAAAACACCAATTAATTAAGAATTTTTTTTTTATATATTTTTATTCCATACAGGGTGAGCCAGAACTGCGATTCGATGGCATCGCAATTGAGTAAGTTGTAATCGATATCATGGAAAATGTCAAATTCCATCAAATTAATGTCTTTCATTAACAAAAAAATGTTTGTTTGTTTTTTCTCGTATAGTGTTGAAGGTACCGAGAAGATTCAATTATCTCAAGAAATCGTAAATCCAGGCACATCAAAGTTAGGACCAGAAGATTTCGAACTAAAGAAGGTTTTGGGAAAAGGTGGCTATGGAAAAGTGTTCCAAGTTCGAAAAACAAGCGGTCGTGATATGAACCAATTCTTTGCGATGAAAGTATTGAAAAAAGTGTCAATACTCCGAACACAAAAAGACACAGCACACACAAGAGCCGAACGCAACATATTAGAAGCTGTCAAGGTAACAAACATTGATTGATTTTCATTATATAATTTATGCGATTACAACACTATATATTACTATTATATACGCGCACACATTTTATTATGAGTAATAACTAATAGCTTGTAATTGTTTGTATTACAGCATCCATTCATTGTTGAACTCAATTATGCATTTCAAACTGATGGAAAACTCTATCTCATTTTGGAATACTTAAGTGGCGGTGAATTATTTATGCATCTCGAACGTGAGGGAATTTTTTTAGAAGACACAGCTTGGTTAGTATGACACACCATATACGAATACTTATTTGTGTTACATTTTTATTATGAAATCGGCAAGAAAGAAGAATAGAGACAGAAAAATCAAATCAGCAACACACAATTAACACATTCGCACCTTAATGAAACCAAAAAAAAAATATATTCCATTTTAGCTTTTACCTAAGCGAGATCATATTAGCATTGGAACATTTGCATGCACTTGGCATTATTTATCGAGACCTAAAACCCGAAAATATCCTATTGGATGCTGAAGGTCATGTGAAATTAACAGATTTCGGTCTATGCAAAGAACATATTCAAGAAGGAATTGTTACCCATACATTTTGCGGAACGATCGAATATATGTAAGTAAATGAAAATGAAATGTTATTCAAATGAATAACGATTTGCGATTTAATTGGCTTTCTTTCATACATAAATATTTGCTGAATTTATAAACAAATCGTTAACATTGATGTTATGCGTATATAGGGCGCCAGAGATTTTGACACGTAGCGGCCATGGAAAAGCTGTCGATTGGTGGTCATTAGGTGCTCTTATGTATGATATGCTGACAGGATTGGTACGTATATATATTCACATAATGAAATATGTGAAATGGTAATAATTTTCTATTTTTGTTTTTGATTTTATGTCATTCTCAAACAAAAAATAGCCTCCATTCACTGCGGAAAATCGCAAAAAAACAATTGAAGCAATATTACGCGGCAAATTGAATTTACCCGCTTATCTCACACCTGATGCACGTGATTTAATTCGTAGACTGATGAAGCGTCAAGTAAATTTACGCTTAGGTGCTGACCAATATGATGGTCAAGCGGTTCGAGCACATCCATTCTTCAAATTTGTTAACTGGGATGATGTGTTGGGCCGACGATTGGAACCACCAATCAAACCAATTTTAAGAAGTGAAGACGATGTATCACAATTTGACACCAAGTTTACCAAACAAATTCCAGTCGATTCGCCCGTATTTTCGACATTAAGCGAAAGTGAAAATTCGATATTTCAAGTAAGTAAAAAAAAAAAAATTATATGAGTGATTATGAAGTGAATGGACAAATTAATTCAATAATTTTGTTCGTTTCTGTAGGGTTTTACATATGTCGCACCATCGGTGTTGGAAGAGATGAGCAAACCACCAACTAGACCCACAGCTCGTTCACCACGTCGTCCCCGTTATCATCATCAAAATGATCATTGTAGATTAACGCCAGGAATGCAGTCAGGACTGCAAATGGGACTGCAGCCTGGACTTACGCCATTCGCACAACGCGCCACCGCAATGACTTCAAAACAAACAGCCCCCCATTTACAACCATTTGCACGGCCATCACCACAAGATGAAATTATGGAAGTTCAAGGAGTACCGATTGTTTAGTAAACCGAGGAGAGAAAACGAAAATAGCGAAAAAAATTATATACAAGTCATAATGTTTGCTCTTTTTTAAGCTTTTTTGAATCGTGAAATCTAAATTTAACAAAAAAAAATTGAAAGAAAGAAAGGTGCTTTTGCCTATAGTTCTTTTTTTCCTTGTTGCTTTTTTCTTCGTTTTATACTTAAATTCGTTCTGCGTCTTTTTTTTTTTAAATTGAAAATTGACTTCCGAACAACTCTTTTGAGCCCCGTCCGAATATTTCGCGGTCAATCGGTCTGAATTACTTTTTACCACATTTATTCGAGAAAGAATATAGAAAATTTATAAAACCAACATAAAAAAAATGATTTGTTTTTGTAAAAATAGAAGATGCTGAAATCATGTAAAATCACTTATACACAAAGCATATTTTAAGAAAACGAAAACAACTGAAATCATTATAATATTTTTTATTTAAAAAAAAGACGAGCAAATTAGCTGTAAATAACTATCGATTAAAATTCAGTTTTAAGTGAAAATGATATGCGATTGTTTCTTTTCTAGCTGCCGGTTACTCAAGAAAATCTAAAAAAATCGCATACAACCATGTAATAAACACATGATGGAAAATTAAAACGACGATAACAATAGAAAAAACAACAACAACTACAACTACAAAAACAAATGTAAATACAATGTTATTAATGACTGTATATTTTTATGGATCAGTCGTTCGTCATATAGGCGACTTGGTGTTTAGAAAGACTAATATTAAAATAGAAAAAAAACAACACCCAACATACAGGAAACGAAAACGAAACTGAACATAAAGTAAATATTAAATCAATACAACACAGATAGAAGATATAAAGGCAAATTAAAACTATTTAAAAGATGAATAAGGACAAAAAAAAGGAGTTAAATAACTGGCAGTGCAGAAGTTTGGCAATATATTCTGATTTTTTTGAATGCTAACTAAAAATGTGTTTGCGCGTGAAAATTCAATTTCTACTCAAATAGTATAAATTCGGTCAGACATTATAATGCGATATTTTCAGCCAGATGAATCAGCTCAGCCAGATATCGTCAGAAGCTGAAATTTAGGGAATACAATAGAAGTGATTGTTATGGTTATAATTACACTTACATTGCTATAATCACTATAACAATCACTTTTATTGTGTTCACTCCATTTCAGCTCCTGACGATATCTGGCTGAAAATATCTCATTATAATGTCTGAATTCGGGATAACATTTTCTAGTGCAAATTTGTTGTAAATTCTATCAATATATTTTGGTTTTTTATTATTTTTTTTTGTTGACTGTTTCATTTGCAACTGATCACTGCCCATAAATGTGCAAAACGAAAATGTCATGTGGACAGCAAACCAGAGAAATGAAACATATGCAACAGATACACAGAGAAAAAAAACAAACGTATTATTTGAGTGTGATTTAATTTTTACACGTAAAATATACCCGTATACATTTCAGATATTTTGCACTATCGACGAAACGTGTACATTTATTATCGAAACTATATTTAAAAAAAAAAACTAAACAAAAACAACAGATATGAATGAAAAGAAAATGAAATGAGAGAAATTATTGAACCAATCAGTCTTAATTATTATAATAGAAAATCTTTTTTATTATTTTTTATAAGCATATTTTACAATTTACCATATTTCATATGAACTGAACACACATACACATACACACATATAACATACAAACGAATTACAAATTGACGAATTCAGTAAATCATCCATCACACAAGAATATCGATGGCCGAATGTAAAAAAAAACTAACTACTACCACTACTACTACTGCAACAGCAACAACCACATACAAAACAAAAAAAAAACGTAAATACAAAATCGAATAGATAAAATTATCAACTACATAACAAAGAAGTTAAAAGTCTGTCAAAACAAAACTAACGATATAAAATAGATGAAAGAAAAAACCACTAACGTGACATAGTAAATGAAATGAAACAGAAAAAATAAAACGTAATATATGATACTCCATAGTTAGGTGAGATTCCATTTAAATGAAAGTAATAGCGTAACGAGTGCTTAATAGGAAAATTTATTGTTATTTTTTGAAGTGAGCTACCAAATATTAATAAAACAAATCAATAGGTAACAATTAGTACATTTTTGAAAACAACTTCAACAACAGCTACAATAAGAAAGAAATTGAAATGAAAACCCAAAAAACCAATCGTACCATAAATATATATACCTTACAATTACAATGAATATCGTTTGCTTCGTTATGTCTGCTTTTGCAACGTAAATATATTTTTTCTTCAAACAAAACGAACGAAAACAATGAAGAAAATCTATCATTATTATTATTATTATCTTTATTATTAGCTAGATAAATTGTTCCTTTCTTTTTTTATTTAACAACAACAAAAAAAAAATGCTTGTTTGATTTTATAATCCCGAGAAATCAGGTTAATGAGTGAAAGAGAACGAAAATGAGTAAATTAAATGAAATGAAATTTGAATTATATACAAAATAAAGTCAAAAATCAAGTAGATCATGATGTATAAACTTATGCGATTAATGAACATGAAAAGTACGTTGATTAAAAAAGAAAAACAATATAATAATGCATTTTGGTTTTTTTTTTGTCATTCCATGACGTATCTATGTTGTCTCAAGAGAAAAACGCAACGAGTATTTTTACTTATAAGAACAGCAGGTATCATTCATATCGATATGAATTCGTTCCAAGGGTGCTTCCAATTTCCAAACCGTTCGAAAGCTGAACTACATTCAATCATCGGGTTTTGATTGAAATAAAACTCAAATTTGATTCCAGTTCTATTGTATATATATTTTTTTTCTATTGCTTTATTGAATTGACTATGTATTTTTGACAGAAACAAAAAAATGCTGTGCTATTGATTGAGATTTGATTATCGATGAATTTTTTTTATTTATTTTTTTTTTCAAGTATTCTTCGTCATTATTTAGTATAGAGGACAAACTCCGGTGTGCACATCACCATTGGCCATGCTGAGATTGATCGGTTGTGGAACGTCTCTAATTTTAACATTACGAATACAACCAATAAATGGTTTGCGAATAGAAAGGCCCTTTGCTTTCGTCTTTATATGTGGATGACCGCCCAAAAATAGTGGCCGAGTTGTATCGGTCGATGATGCGGTTATTGCACCAATTGTTGGATTTGAATGCCAGTCATCAACAATCAATGTAATGACATATTGAGATTTGATTGCGGTCACTGTATGCCAATTACCATCGCAGAATGACGTATTGCTTTCTGGACTGAATACAGCTGTTATTGGTCCACCACCGTTGTCAACTGTAAAGTTAATTGTACCGTTGATCAATTGCAATGCAAACATTGCACGCTTTCCATGTACCGACAACAATAAACCATTGAGTGTTCGTGGTTTTATATCAAATGAAATGGTTGTTTCAATTCCAACCTTGAAGCGATCTCGTAGCTAAATTTTACACAGAGAGACAGAAAGAATAATTTACGTGAATTGTCATATAAGAAGAGTTTAAAATGTTTACCTTAATGTAACCGCCATTGAAGAAGACACCATTTTCAATTTGATCGGAGCATGGGATGGTACCAATATTCTTATTTGGTTCACCCCATGCACGGCCTGCAACTTGAATATTACGAATGCAACCTTGGAAGTAATTGGTTTTTTCAAGGCCGGTGTTGAGTTCAACGTCTTCTTGTATTGTTTTTGGTATACCACCAAATAGGTATGGTGCTTGAAGTGTAACGAGTCTTGTATTTCCAGCTGATACGGCTGATACTTCATCTTCTCCATCGATTAATAAACTGCCCTTTGATTGTGAACGGGAAATAAGTACCGTATGCCATACGCTGTTATTATATTGATTCTTTGAGGTCATATTGGCTGAACCAGAACCACAATTGAATTTATGGAACACCTAAACAAAATTTCAATTAGAACATTGATGCGAAAATAATACAAGTGTGTTTTCAAGTACTTACGTATCCATCTTGTAAGAAGAGAGCAACGAAATCGTGGTGACGATTATCAGCTGCATAGAACAACAAACCATTCGGTTGATCAGTCTTGAATTGTATGGCAATCTCGTATCCCTTTTTGATTTTGGCTGGACATTCATTGTATTCAATGCGACTGTCAACAACGGTACCAAATCGGTAACCAGCCTCATAGCCAACATCCGGTTCAGGTTCGAGTGGAAGTGTACATTCTGGATTTTCTTTGTGTGGTCGTCGTTTTGTCGGTTTAATCGTGGTTGATGTTGTGAAATATTCTTGTGGCGGTGGCGTTGCATGATTTGGTTTTCCATGGTCAATAACATTATGTTCGTCTGGTACTTCGAACCGTGGATCGATTGGTGGATTATCCGGCGAATACTCTGGCGCGGGGGTAGTTTTCGTTGCCTCTTCTTCGAGTTCTTTACGACGTTTTTCTTCGAGTTGCTTTTGAATCTCGTCTAATGTACTTGGCTCAGCATAGTCGGTTGGATATACAATCGGTACTAGGATTGGATCGTAAACTGTGCCAAATTCATTAAAATAAAGCGGTTTTAGTATATAAAATTTATCTCAAATAAAAAGTGGTTACTCACTCAAAATATCACGTGAACAACTGTCCAAAAGGGCTGATTTTCGATCACCAGATTCGGCAAAATTAATAATCGGCCCGTTGATATAAACATCCGAAATGCATCCAACAAAGTATGCTGGCACGGAAACTGCATACGGTGGTGCTCGGAATCCTTGTGGCAAGCCACCAAAGTAGATATGAGCATCTTGCAAAAATATTGGTCGCACATTTTCCACACTTAATTCGGCCGAACTATCGACAGAAAGACTGAGCTTTGTTTCATCATGCAACAATGATAATTGATGCCATTCACTATCGCTGTATTTTGTTGGCACTGTTGCTACTTCTGAATTTTGACTACGCAACACAAGCGCACCATCGTCCAGATACAATGCAATATTATTTTCTTGACCCGGATCAGTTGCATAGAAAATAAGTCCTTTATCTTGTTTGGTCTTGAATTTCAAATTGATTCGTAATTGATTGGCACTGCTAATATTATGACGAAGATAACCAAATTGTCGTGGTGGGAATGATAGTGTGGTTGAGAATTTCGTAGCACATCCCGGATTGGCATGGTATGTCTTCAGATTTCGTGTTAAATCGATTGTTGTACCATATATAAAGACATTATCAATGCATCCATCAAAGTTCTTCGATGTGATTTCAGTGTGATTCAATGGTGTTGGATAACCACCGAAGTACATGGTATCTGAAATCTTCAAATTTTCTTCAGTTCCAGCTGGTGATTCTTCTTGTCGAATTTCAATGCCATCAATCTTAAGAACGCCAACGCGTCCATTTCGTTCGGCCTCAACCAAATGCCATTCATTATCGTTGAGTTGTTCAGTTGATTCAATCGATACCAAATGTTGGCCCAATTTATATTGGAATCGAACGCCACCGTTTCTCAATTCAACCGAAATAAAGTGTCGCTTAAGTCCTGCATAGAACATCAAACCATCTAATGTGTCACGGCCAGCCTTGAAATTGAATTTAATGTTCGAACGTGTTTTGAATGAATATGGTTTTGCATCCAAAATGACATAACCATCGCCATTAAAACGATATCCAGTCGGTTGTACTTCGGATGCAGCCAACTGATTACGTTCACGTGCACCATCATTGTTATTTTGTGCATCAACGAAATTCCATAGACCGACTCTTTCATCACCAATACGTAAATCTTCAATTTCACCATCGAATGAATTGTATTGCAATGCTTTTGGATTGAATTCGGGTGAGCCACCGACAAATATTCTTGTATTATCGCGAGTCAAATCAAATACATTATCATTGCCACTTAATCGATCTTGTACGTCATGTGAAAGCACTTGACCTTCATCCGTTTCTTCTTTTATCGTCAAAAATACATCGTTGCCAGTACGTTGGACAATTGCTTGATGCCACTTTCCATTTGCAACATTCTTTTTGCTAATTATCTTGTCAGGACCATCGCCCAAGTCAATCGACAATATTGGATATCCATTTTCGATTTCCAATGCCAAGTAATCACCTTGCTTACCGTATATCTTTCCATCGTGTTTATTGTCATTGCCCAAATACAAAAGTGAGCCATCGCTCTTATTGGTTCGGAAGTAAAGGGATGTTGTGAAATCGGATGCCAATTGACCGATCTTTGATGGTGTTTTCAATTCAAGCGTGGTATTTGGATGGAATTGAACACCAACCTTAATGGAATTGGCCAAATCGCGGGCACTCTCGATTTGTTTCTTCAGACGTTCAATACGTTCAGCCAAATCGTTTCCAGATCGTTTTGTCTCATCTTGTTTAAGTTTCAAATCATCAACGAGCGTTTGCAGATTTGGCAGAATCTGTGATACACGATCAATTTGTGTACTTGCTTGTACAATATATAAGTTTGTATCGTCGATTTTCTTTGACAATTGCTTTGCATTTGCAACACCATCGACAAGATTTTCAAGAATTGGCTTTAAGATTTCTTTGGATTCGTTTGCCTTTTCATTTGCCTCAGAAGCTTTTTTGCCAGCATCTTGCCAAATATCTCCTTGTGATGGCTCCTTCAGTTGATCTAAAGCCCTGGCAATTATTTGTTAGCGTTAGTTAGTACATGACCGAATATTGTTTATATTTCTTAAGAACTTACTGATTGATTGCTTTTGTTTTTTCATCACTGTTTGCATTCTTGTCTTGAATTTGTTTAACGGTTGATGAAGCGTCATTTATATGCGGTTGCAAATCGCTTTGAACAACGTTTAGTGCTTGTCTTGCATTTTCAAGCAAATCACGTGATTTCGAATCTGATTCGCCAGCTCGATTGCCAATGCCTTCACTCTGAAATAGCGTTCAATTTTTTTTGATTTCCAAATAGATTGAATGTAATATTGTAAATAAAATCGAATACAAATTCACTAACCAACTTAGTTGCATTATTTGCTGCTAATTTTGATTCTTTCATCAAATTTCTGGCATCATTAACGGTATCAACAATATCCGAATATGAACGAGCGGCCAACAATGAACGCTCTGAATTTGATGTAATATTTGATAATTCATTCTTCAATACATCCGCCTGGGATAGAAAAAAACAAATGATAAAAAATAAAATTAAAACATTTTCCCCGCCACCAGCTGTTTCATTTCCTTATGTACCGTATTTGAAAGTTCTGTTCGACGATCAGATGCTCGTGCAATAATATCATCCAAACCATCCAATTCGGCGTCTTTGATTGGTACTTGTTTTTCGACTTGATCATTGATTGATTTCAGTTCATTGTTCACATTTTCCAAATTCTTTAAAAAGGTGTAAATGTTACCAAGAGCAATGTCAACTTCTTTTTGTAATCGTGATGTGCCTTCAATGTTGTTTTCCGTTTCTTTGGTATGATTGTTAACCGTATCGAATTTCGAATTGACCGATGCATTTTGATTTTTCGAATGCAAATTGCTGGCATCCCAGCTAAGTTTGATTGCATCGTTTGCATGTTTCTTAAGGTCTTCCAATTTCTCACGGAATGTACCGATGTCTTTATGTAAATTGTTCAATTTATCATTTTGTTCTTTCACCGGTTGAATGAAGTTTTCGATTTTTGTCAAATAATCAATGGAATTTTGTAGTTGCTCTTCAGTTGGTGTTGAATCAACGTTAAATTCTTTGAGTTGATTGAGAAGTTGATTTGCTTCGGCTATTGCATTTTCGGCCTTTGTTGTACTGCCCGATGTATCAAAACTGTCGGCAAGCTTTTGAACTTCATACACGGTATTTTGAATGTTTTCAAGTGTTTTTCGTGTTCCACTCAACACACTGCGCGAATCAGTCAATAATTTATTTCCGGCAGCCAATTGATCGTTGATTGTATCGTTGGTATAGCGTAATTTGCGTTCAAAATTTTTGGCTTCGCCTTCCAAACTATCAATGCTATTGCTCAATGGCGTTAAATTAACACTATTTGGATCCAATGCTTTAACATCGGGCTCAATTTTAGTGGCCAAATCATCGAAATAGTTTAATTTCTGCGATGTAAAGTAACCACCGGCAACCGTTTGGAAATCAACAATAACCGGGTTGAGTTCATTCGAAATGGCATCTGTCACATCTAAAAGACTGCCATGGCAAATGTCACATTCATGACATCCTTGATCGGGCACCAAAACCCATCGGTATGGACATGAATCGCATTTTTCTCCAACAACACCCGGTAAACATTCACATTGTCCGGTATTCACATTACAACCAACACCTCGGGAATAGTCGTTATTACATGAACAAGCTGTTGAAATTAAATCCAGTTATGTTAGCATTTTTTTTATATTTCGAAATAATACTTCCATTTACATTTAATTTCATTGACTTGAATTAATCAACTCCTTGAATGAAAAAAAAAAAAAATACTTACACAAACATCCTTCAGATGTATAATTCCAGTAACCCGGTAAGCATCGGTCACATTGACGTCCAGTAACACCTGGTTTACATCTACATTCTCCGGTTAGATCATCACATTGCGTACTATTCGAAGCAACAGCACAATCACAAGCTGTACAGCCGCGTCCGCTTTCGAAACCATAATGATCTGGTTCGCAACGATCACACTTGGAACCAATTACATTTGGCCAACAGTGACATGTACCATCATATGAGTCGCAATGTTCTGTACCACTCTTATCACAAACACAGTCTAAAATAAATCGATTGAAATAATGTTAAAATGACGTTATTCATCATTGACATATTAAAATGACTTACTTTGGCAATCCTTTAATTTAACAGCATCACCATAGAAAAATGGTGCACAATAGTTGCAAGCAGCTCCAAATGTATTATTACGACACTTCAAACATTCACCGCTGACCGAATCACAAGAGCCTTCTTCATCTGGATCGATATTGCCCGAACATTGGCATGGTTGGCAATATTCACCTTCCTTTGTTGGTTGGCCAAAGTATCCTCGAGCACATGCTTGACATTTTTCGCCTGTATATCCTTCACGGCATGTACAGTGAACTTTGTAACCGTCCGGTGAGATTTCACATCCAGTTGCAAAGCTGATTTTGTGAAATTATTTTTGTTAAAAATCAAATCGATTAACCGAAGTGGCTTTTCATTATATAAACTTACTTGTTGGTATCGATTGGCAATGGACATGCACAGATCATACAGTCATTTGGTGTGCCAGTTGTTGCATTACCATGATAACCGACAATACACTGTTCACAATGATCTCCAGTTGTTGAATGTTTACAGTTCTATAAATATGTAAATTATATTAAACTTAGACCATGTGTCACATTCAAAACGAAACGAACCAAAAACAAGCATATTTTACTTACGTTACAAATGCCAGTGTTAAGATCACATGTGTCAGCATGACCATTACATTGACATGGTACACAATAACCGCCATGTGGACCGTTTGGATCGCGATAGTAGCCAGGTGCACAATCTTCGCACGAATTGCCAATGTATCCTTCGGGGCAAGAGCATCTTTCGACCGAAAGTTCTTCGTACTTATCATAGTTTTCTTCATCCTCATCGGCCATAACCAAATAAACATCGGACAATTGACTAACCAATGGTTCATCCCAATAAGCGGCACGAATGTAAATGGCATTCAATTGATTCAAAACATGCATAAATTGATCGCGAGTAACCGGTGCGCCTGCAACTGTTGTAAAGCTAGATTCCACAAATTTAACCGATCCTTGGAATAACTGTTCATTGGCCGGTTGCTCGAAACTATGATGGAAAAGTGTTTGACGATTTTTGCCTTCGAGAATAATATCGGGCCCGGCAATTGATTTGGCGAATAAAACGGCCGATGAAAGTAGAGTGTATGTTAAACTACCACCGTATGCTGTTAAATGGTTCTTTTGATCTTCCAAATAATCGAGAACACCGAAGTAAATTAACTCATCTTTATCTTCTTTCGATGAAAAGTCATCGGTTTCAATGGTCGTGGCATTAACAAACAGATCCTCTGGTGCAATTTGCCAACGATGAATTTGTGCTTCAAATGGCAATAGTTTGATTGAATTCACCGACACCTCTTTCATCATGCTTACATTGAATGCACGTAAATATGCGCGTGCACAACGTGTTGTTTTACCGAAACAGAAACATTTTGTACAACCTTCGGGATTTGATTGTTGCAAATTATACGTTCCATCGACGCATTGATCGCACATTTGTCCTTGAACATTCTTTTTACAGAAACATGTCTCATCTTGTTGATCACAAATTTCATATGTAGTTCCTTCGTGGCTACAACGACATGGTCGACAATGTGGAAAATCGAAGAAACCATTATGACAATGGTCGCATGTTCTTCCTTCGATATTTGGTCGACATCTAAGTAATAAATGTCAATATTGAATTTATTGCAAACAAACTTAAATTGAACTTAACCAAAAGCGACTACTTACGCGCATGTACCATTGAATAGATCGCATTGAAGTTCATTGTTTTGTACACCCAATGGATTACAGTTACATTGTTCACAACCGAAGAATTGATCAAATCCAAATGAATATGGTTCACATTTGTCGCATTTTTCACCAATCACATGCTGTGGACAAATACAAGCTCCCGTATCTTTTTCGCACAAATTTTTTGATGGACAATCGCATGGCTTACAATCAGGGAAACCATAATAACCTTGAATTGAACAAATTCAATCAACACACGTTCATAGTGCTTCGCATGAAATTCGCTTAGAAAAGAATATTGCTCAACCTACCTGTTCGACATGCATCACATTGTCGTCCAATGATGTTCGGTTTACATTGGCATTGACCACCGAATGGATCGCATTCAAATGATGTTGAACCCTCATAGTCACAATTACATGGCAATGCGCCTTTGTTATAATCAGCTGTCAATGAGAATACGGCTTCTTTACAGAAATCAGATGCATTCAATTGAATGTAGAAATGATCTTGACCACATTTTTCGATGAACTCTTTGGTTTGATCAATTGTTCCTTCTTGCAAAAGATCATCTTTGAATAGACTTTCAGGTACAATGAGGACATAATCTAACCAGACGCCCTTTTTACGTGTATTCTACAAAGCGAAAAATCCACAATTATTCGCAAAATAAAAACCATGAATGTTGAACTAATTTTGACATACCGTAAGTGTGATTGTAACATTTTCTTCTAATTCAAATGATTTGGCTCCATTGCTTTGCAAAACAATCTCTCGACATCCCGAATTCGATGGGCAATTGCGTAAGTTTAGTTTGCCATCATAGGATAGTTTATCAGCATCGATTTTGTATAAAATATCGAATTTGGCATGATTTGGTTGATAGTATTTGACTAAAATGTTGTATCGACCAGAGTTCGGAACTTGTGATTTTATTTCAACCGTTGATTGTTCTGGACCAATGTAAATCAATTTCGTTTCATTGTTGTACAAATTGATTGGAGCATTTTCGGCCACCTCGTGGAAACTTTCGAATTCAACCTAAAATCCGAAGCAGACAATATATCCTAATTTAAAGAAAATTGACAAAAAAAACCTTTTTTTTTCCTACCTTTTTCGAGTCGGGAGCTCCCAAGAATGAAGTCTGTACACATGATCCTTCTTTCATCACACAAACTGGACTTGGTGTAATCAAATCAAGTGACCATTCTTGAATTGGAATTGCTGTGATCGATTTGATAGCCACATGAGTTCCTTCATCACCCTACACACGTTTCATCATTTCAATTAAGATGTAGTTTCTTATTTTTAAAACGAAAGCCCTTTTGTAATTATTGAAAGATACTTACCGTAATTTGGAATGTTTGTGATCCACCTTTGTTCAAAACAAAAATTTGCTCCTTCGAATCCACATCAATAACGGGTTGTCTGCAAACTGTTGTATACAAACACGTTGGAACGGTAATAAAACCAACTTCTTGATCGCTTGCGATAAGTTGAACCTTCAATTCGTATGAGTCCGGGTATTTACGATCAGTAACATAATCAACAACAACCACGTATTTTCCTGGTGTTGCATCGGTAACATAAGTCAAACTTTGTTGCAATTCATTAAGAATTGGCAATGGTTTCGAATTAATCAATTGCAAATGCTCTTCATCATCGTACACCTCACTGGCATCTTCGCCGTCGGCATTAAAACCACGACTAACTGGACGGAAATCTTCAATTGATGGATATTTGTAGTGACGGCATGTTTCAAGATCGCCAAGTTCGCATGGATTTTCAATTTTTTTAGTTAAAATACTGGCTTCATAGTATGCAGCTGGTAACAGAACAAAATAGTCCAAATATAGGAACTTATCTGTTTTAACACTGATTGTATAACGTCCTGGATCCAATACAATTGGCGATGGAATATCACCAAATGCACCGGATACAGTTACAAATTGTGGTTCTTTGGTTGGTTTAAACAAAACTTTGGCCGATTGATCGATTTCACTTGGATTATCACTGAAATAATATCCAACATAAATATATGTAAATAATAAATATTAATAACATCAAATGGCAAATATTTGTAAGGTGGTACATACCTTGTAATTAAAATGGTTGCAACAACATTTTCATTGGTTGGATTTACGTACCGAATGACCATTCGATAAACAGATGAACCAATAATGTTAACTTCATTGATCAATTCACTTTGTAATGCAGTAAATTTGGCATAACCACGTTTACTAAAACCGGGAAATTGTGCTTCTTCGAATTCATATCGAACATGCGCACCGGATGGCGTGTAACCGTCTTCAAATTCAAATTGAAGTTGATACAATGTTGGATAGTAGTGAGTTGTTAAAGTTTCCGAACATGTTCGTCCACTGATACGTGCATGACATTTACATTGACCATTTTCTTTGTTGCACAAACCATGCACCGAACCACCAACATCACAATTACAATCTTTGCAACCGAAAATGCTACTGCCAATCAAATCGAATGTACCATCTTTACATTCATTACATGGACGACCTTGAACTGATGGTTTACAATGGCATTGACCCGATTTTGAATCGCACGTATCAAGTAAACCGAGCGTTCCTTCCGTAAAACAATCGCATTCATCGCAACCTAAATTATTTGTTATATTCAAATTCCAGTATAACGGTTTGCATTCATTACAAATGCGTCCAGTAACACGTTTTTTGCATTGGCACAATTCACCAGCTGGCACTGAACCACAACCAGAGAATTTTGCCGTTACACCAGCTGGATCGCAATTACATTCTTCACAAGACGGATAGTTATAGAATCCTTCTTTACATTGGCTACATGTTTTACCATCAAAATTGCGGAAACAACTACATTGACCGTCTGTGTTACATGATACACCATTCGAACCAGGTGACTCACAATTACATGCTGTATTTTGTAAATAATAGAAAAACAAAATAGTGAAAACAATTTAAATACGCGAATTTCTTGTTAATAAATACTTACATAAACATTGTGGATAATCATAGTAACCCGCACTACATTGAGTACATTGTTTTCCAGCAAAACTGTTCAAACATGGACATTTTCCAAGAGCATCGCATGTGGTCGATACACTTCCAACAGTTGAGCAATTACATTGTACACAGTCTGGGTAATTGTAATAGCCCGGAAGGCATTGATCGCAACGTGGTCCACCATAGCCTTCTTTGCACAAACATACGCCGGTTTCTTTGTGACACACCTCAGACTCAGTTCCTTGCAGATCACAATTACAATCTAAAAT